GGAATAGGTTTTAAGACTCTATCTCTCATAGTTTCCGAGATAATCGCGATAACGGAATCGCCAAAAAATGTTGTCGTACTTTTGGACATTTGTACCAACACCTACTCGTCACTAAACACCAATAAAATTCAGAAAAACGTTTGTAGCATTTTTCTGAATAATCCACGACTGTTTTTGAAGCTCTGAATGGTTTGTACTTGGTCTCATTATCATGTACAGTAAATTGTTCCGTTTGTACTGCGATGGGAGTGGAAGTACCGAAGATCAGACGTACCCACATCAAAACTTCACGAACTACATATGGAATCCATTACGATGATTTTACGGTTGATAAAAATGGAATCAGGTGATTTGATAATAATAATAATAATAATAATAATAATAATAATGAATAATTTTCGTTGGTGCAAACGAGTACTAACGATTTAGAAGCTATCTGTATGTTTTCCTGACGTCCTTCATACATTTAAGATTTTAGAAGCGGGTAAAGTATTGAAGGGGTTGATAAATGAAATGGAAAAATATAGTACATACAAGTACTATCCATGCTGAATCCTTGCCCATGAAATTTTTTTCCGTACCTTCATTTCCGACGCTGCACGATTTTTCCCGCACCTCTTACGTCTAGGGGTGCGGGGTACAAATGAAAATGAATGTAGTACATTCAGGTACTCACTGAGTACAATCGATACGATAAGAAAGACAGTCGATTTATCAAACTTCGACTCCAAGTTCACACAGCTATTATATTTCTGTTCTACTGCAGGCAGACGGGTTCACCCCAAAGTTCACCGAAGGAGACATAATATTCTTGGGCGGTGGTACAAACGGCATAACCGAGTGGACAATCGAAGACATATCTAAGAGTGAGTTAAACCCACTAGAAATAAAAAAACATGAACAAAATTCCATCCTTCTAATTTATTTTCCAGAGTACGTCGATAACTTCAAGCTAAACGCCTCTCAAAACTTTGAAAAAATAGAGATTACTCTAGTGAAACCCCCCGCCTCATTTTTCCAGGAATCTTTTGTTGCGTTGATCCTGACAGTGAGTGAAAATAATTCTGTTATAATTATCAGGGGAAGTTGGGGTGAAATGAACACTTTTGACTTTTTTCAACTATCAATGACGGGCTGAAATGTTGATGAAATTTAATTTTTTTTTCAATGCAAAGAACTAATTATAAATTATTAAATTATTTCACCATCGTTGTTTCGCTATCTCCCTTACATTCCGAGGTATTGATTGATAACTGGTCAATAGTCAAAACTGACTTATCTCCTTTTACCACTTCGTCACTGAATTTGTTTCCGAATTAATAATAATTTTAAAAAAAGTAGTGTCCATTTTACCCCGCCCTCCCCTATAATGAAAAAGATGAGGAGATTATCGACCTTTAGAGAGTAGAAAGATCCAAAGTATTTATGACTGGCACAGGCAAAGAAAGTAGGAGCTGCAGCGAGCACAGTCATTCACCTGACTCTCCCAGGAAGACAATCGAACGAGATCCCTGAGGCAGTCCCTCCAAAAGAGGACAGCAGCCCAGATTCAACTGCTGTCATAATCACACTTGCTGTTTTATTAGCCATCGTGTCAGCTGCTCTCGTCGCCTGCATTGTTCTCCTGAGGAGGTAAACAACTCAAGAATTCAGATCGTTTATCCATCGATCATCATTCTCTGCTAGGAATATCAATGATAACTGAATGCGTTCGTTCAACAGACGAGGGAGAGCAGCTAAACCAGTGGAGAAGATCAATGGAGCTGCTGAGGCACGAGGAGAGATGAGGGAAGTCGAAAGGTAGCTCCTGAACTTCAAAACGAATTTTTCTATTTTTTGTAGAGATGTTTGAGAACTGGTAAAGGCATTCGGCTAGTTTTCAGTCAATAACTCGTAATCTAAGGGAGATGGCAAGATTCTTGTCAGGACCTTTTTTGTAGCTCTGGACTCGCTCTACAAAAAAGGTCATTACGAAAATTTCGCTATCTCCCTTAGATTCTTAGTTTCTCCCCGAAAACGTTGAGAAAATCTTCATTTCTTTGATGATACAAGTTTTTCTCTGGAGCATTTTGAAGAACATTGGTAAATAATTTAAGAAAATTTTCACAAATGACGTCTCACGATCATGCTGACAGATCCGTCTCTGATGCTTTCGTAGACAATTTTCCAAGACATTTCGAAAATGATGAAAGTCATCTAAATGATGAAAGTCATCATTCAAGAGTGAAAAAAAATGTTTCGGTAAAAAAAAATATTTCGGCAATTCTAATCATTCCTAGTATCGACGAATCAAGATTAATCAATCCCCACGTGGTTTTAATCTCCAAGTTACTCAATCCAAGTCACAAACCGAAGGCCAGAAGCCATGAATCCTTGCATATCATCACGTGCGATCACTGACAGTTATCTTCAACTCTTCGCGCATTAAAAATAATCATCAGTAAGGTTGGACCCCTGTCCTTGCGTTTTCCCCAGTTGCAGCAACAAGAATTATCATAAATTACCTCCAATTGGAGATGATTTATTATCATGTCATCTCCAAACTTAATCCAATGATTGTGATAATCACTCGATAATTATTTTGCAGAATGGATAGTGATCCGAGTTCAAACGGCGTCCCGAGACGATCAGTGGCGTTCAACGACACTGTTGAGGAAATAAAAGTTGCCAGACTGTGATACCATAAATACCTGACTACAGATTGAAGCGGAAATCCGCTGGAATCTGCTCATTTATGTCGGACTTCCGGGGATTCATCGTTAAAGCCAAAAAAAAATGTCTAATATAATTCAGCAGTGAAGTAACGCAACTATTAATGAAGGATACTTCAATTTAATTCAACGTCACTTCAATTTAGAATTTCTTTTTGGAGAATGAACAAAAATTAATCTAGAATTCAACTTGATTTATTTTTATTTCAACTAAATTTCAATTTTTTAATTTTTATGCAAACCTTCTAGCACAAATTTTACTGGTCTTTACGTCAAATTTATTTATTCATTCTGCTGTATTCCCTGCCGAATAATGAAATCAGAGAATGCAAATTGAATAAGCGATTGTGGGAAAATTAATTTTTGTATTTTTCTTGCAATAAATTCCGTTGAAAATTGAAAATTAAATTAAAAGTGTATTAAAAATAAAAAATTAAATTAAATTAAATTAAAGTGTCTCTTAAAATAAATTTCGATAACTTATTCGCGTTCGATGCGAAGAAAATCGGCGCAGTTATTAAAATCGATACAAATTGCGAATCAGCGTTTATGAATGTAATCCTCGTACAAGAATGCATCACTCGAGGGCAGTCTTGCATTCCTGGGTGTCGCTGCATCGAAAATGGAGGACACAGACTATTCTGCGCAGATAAACTAATTAAATTGTATTTTTAGCGTTTAATCTGCTTCCGGAGAAGAGAGAAGAAGACACGGGTAAAAGTCCAGAAATTTTAGTGAGTTTGTTTCGAAAATAACTCCTAAACTAACGAGTTTATCGAAAAAAGCCAGAAAACCTTATTTGGGGAGAATTTTATGGGCTTTAAATCACATCTTGTGACATTTTTCGATAAACCTATTAGTTTATGAGATATTTCGTAAAATCCAAATGCTTTTCGTTTCAATTAAAATTTTTTAAATTAAAACTGGTTTAAGAATTTTAATTTAAAAATTTTCATTGAAAATATTTAATCATTAAATTTTGTAGGATATCTTTGACCTCATGGGATTCATCAAAGTAGTACAACCATAACTCAAATTTTTGAGATGAAAATTTGAAATAAATTCTGACCAGAAGTTCACATAAATAAAAACATTTCGGTTTTAATTAATATTCGCAATTCATAATTTCATAATTGATTCAGAAGTGGTAAAATAACGCAGTCTTACGAGAAAATAAATTTTTCAGGATTAGAGAGAAGATTAAGATACAGAAAAAAATCTAAAAAAATAATAAAAAGAAAAAAAATAATTAAAAATTTTATGCTATTGTTTAACAAAACAATGATCAAGTGAATTCGCTAGGTAAATTTTTTCCGGGCATTTTAAATTCATGTCTCCTCAGACTTTGCATGTATTACTTTAAGTATCTCAACATAAATAAAAAACTTCTCAAAAAAAATCAAAACAAATAATCGTAACACTGATATCGCTACGGCCCTGAAATCACAGTTCACTCCGGGCATCCCACCTTCCTCTCCCATCCCCACGACCTTGTATTTTCAGTTACACGGGTGTTACTCCAACAGAGAGATACATGCAGCTGGAGTCTTCAAACTCAGTAGCGAAGCGGTAAAACGGTTCAAGTCGGCCCTCCCCAAGTGTTCGAGGGATATCTCCGAATCGGAGGGAGATATCGAAATTTTCGTAAGAACCTTTTCTCTAGCCCTAAATGAGCGCTACAAAAAAGGTCCTGACAGAAAATTTCCTATCTCCTTTAGATTCCGAGATATTCACCGAAAACCGGGGTGAACCCATCAGAAAGCCCCTTAAAAATCCAATTTGGCGGTTAAAAAATGATCTCCAGGGGTTTTTCGTGCGCATAAACGACGGAAAATATGGGAGATTTATCGGAAATGAATAGAAAAAAATTGGAAGGTGGAGCTGCGACTCCCGAGGGCGATTTATTCGAAGAGACTTACATTCATGCACATAAGTAGCGAGCAAGTGCTCATATTGGCCCCCTCCACAAGTCCAACGGACTTCTTATAAAGGGAACCCACGCCTGAACTGGCATACCAGCCGAGTGCCTCAAACGACATTCATAACTCGGCTGTCATTTAATTTCTCGACAATTTTATCACCCGATTAATTCGATAATTAGTTCTACGGGCGATTGTTTCGCTCTCCCCTAGTCTGGGAGGTGACAACAGAGTGCAAATAATGTTGCCGAGTGTTCTCAGGTGTTGAGTAGTGATTTAACCGCGAGGTAAACCAGTTTATTCCGTAATTCAGGGGCATACCTGGACGGTACGTAAGTGCGATCAATCTATCGATCTATTCTGTGACAGTGGAGCCGAGTGGATTTATTATTTAACGGGGATTTTTGTGGGGATCGCGGCGACCGAGGGACGGAGTCGTTGGACAACTGCCATTAGAGGGTAATTAGTGGGTCAATGGGTTTAACGGGAAGCTGAACGAAAGAATTCAACAGGAAAAATCCTGCGAATTCGTTGACAATTCCAATAATTTTCTAATAATAACTAATAATTTTCAGTAGAACTTCGATAAAATTTCCTAGCGAATGCGCGACTTCTATTGAAAATTCTTTGTTTTCTTTTATTTTTTTTTACTGATAGAAAATGTGTAATAGAATTTCATTTCGTCGTAGGATTTATAAAATATTCAGACATTTTTTATAGCAGTTGAATTGTTAAGTTGTCAATTAGTTGATGTCACTTTTGAATTTTAATTATTGAAGTAATCATCAATTTCAATAGTCAAATTATTAGAATTGTCGTTAGACAATTCCATTGAGATATTTTCTATGGAATTTCCTTTAAATCAAGAAAATCAAACAAAACTGATAGAAAGTTCAATAGAAATCCAACAGAATTATCTAGCGCATTCGCTAGGAAATTTTATTGAATTTCTGGTGATAATTATGAATTTTTCGCTGACTCTATTAAAAAATTCCGCATTTTTTTATTCCAAATGTTCAATAGAAAGAATTTGATTTTTGTATACAATTAATTTCATTGAGATGTTCTTTGCAGAAATCCCTCGACTCAATTTTTCTAAATTTTTTATTGTTTTTTGTTCTTTTTTCTTAAATAGAATGCGTTTTATTATACCCTCAGATCCCCTAAGGGCAATGAGAAATTTCCCATCGATTAAATTACTGAAACATTACAGTCGTACTTGTGTAGAGTTGTCTTAACTGGAGTTTTATCCAGTTCATTCACTTGTTTTCATGAGAGAAGAATAAAAACAATTTTTTTCTCTTAATTCATGTCGACATAAAAAAAAAGAAATAAAACTGCGGATCTTTTCAATAAAATCAGAAGAATTAATAGAATTTCCTAAATGATTCGTTATAGGTTTTTTAATTTAGAAATTTTTGAGTTAAATTTTCCAATTAAATCTTCCACAATAAATATCCGTCAACATTTCTTTAAACCCCTCTGCAAAATAATCTAAAAACCTGTTTCATTAAAAAACTAGTGGCCTTACGGCAAAGAATCCCAAGCTACTAAAAAATTCTTGACATTATTAATCCCGTCCTGAGCCAAACGTTATCTCCGAATTTTTATTTTCGCCACCTCGTCCCTGAATTCTTTCCTCGTCTGTTCATTCACTATCAGTCTGAGAGAATTTTTTTTCGAGATAATTACACTCGCGCGGTTGTTCATTGAAGTCAGGGAGTGGAACGCCGCGGTATTATTATTTACACCGGCGTTTTGAGACGCAATTCTCCCCTCCAAGAGCCCTCACAACAATTTCAATTGATTTTCTACCACAAAATTCTCATTAAAATTCCTGAAAAATCCTCGGAATGACTAAAATTATCCAAAAAGTATATAAATACATTTTCGGAGGTATTTTTTAGCTCTTTACCTTGAAATAACACCCAAATCCAGTTGTTCTGCCGCATCCTCTTCATCAGCAAGCTCTGCGAAACGCCAAAACACTCGAAAAATCGATGAAAAAAATTAGCACAGACACTTCAAAAACACTCTGACCCCCGGGTTAATTAATTAAATTCATAAATTAATTACTCCGGACTCAATAATGAAAAATTAATCATCGAAATCACCGGGTCAACACTGGGGTCAATCCCTCTGACCTTGAACCCCCTCCACCCTCGCCCAAACGATCGAAATCCCGCGATTTTTTCACATTAACCCACGCAAATTCATTCTCCATCGACCCACAACACTTTATCACACTTCACTCAACTGTTTTTCGACAATTAATTATCGAAATTGACGCTTTAACACTCAGTCGAAGGCCTCTAACCTTGAAATCGACCCCTCGCCCCCCAAAACGCTCAGATTCTAACGGATTTTTGATGTTCTCGTGAAAAAACTCATTGCTCACTGACCCCCAATATTTCTCAGCACTTCACTCACCACTTTTCGCGTAATTTCGTCGTTTAAACGTCCACCCGGCGTCTGTTGTTGTCTGGCGCACGTGAAACCGCCATTTTCCCCCTCTCTCGACTCCTCTTATTGCCTACTTCACCCTCTGACCTTGAACCCCCACCCTCCCTCGCTAAAACAATCGAAATCCCGCGATTTTTTCACATTAACCCACGCAAATTCATTCTCCATCGACCCACAACACTTTATCACACTTCACTCAACTGTTTTTCGACAATTAATTATTGAAATTGACGTTTTAACACTGGGTCGAAGGCCTCTAACCTTCCCCCTCGCCCCCCAAAACGCTCAGATTCCAACGGATTTTTGATGTTTTCGTGAAAAAACTCATTGCTCACTGACCCCCAATATTTCTCAGCACTTCACTCACCACTTTTCCCGTAATTTCGTCGTTTAAACCTCCACCCGGCGTCTGTTGTTGTCTGACGCACGTGAAACCGCCATTTTCCCCCTCTCTCGACTCCTCTTATTGCCTACTTCACCCTCTGACCTTGAACCCCCTCCCTCCCTCGCCAAAACGATCGAAATCCCGCGATTTTTTCACATTAACCCACGCAAATTCATTCTCCATCGACCCACAACACTTTATCACACTGCACTCAACTGTTTTTCGACAATTAATTATCGAAATTGACGTTTTAACACTGGGTCGAAGGCCTCTAACCTTGAAATCGACCCCTCGCCCCCCAAAACGCTCAGATTCTAACGGATTTTTGATGTTCTCGTGAAAAAACTCATTGCTCACTGACCCCCAATATTTCTCACCATTTCACTCACCACTTTTCCCGTAATTTCGTCGTTTAAACCTCCACCCGGCGTCTGTTGTTGTCTGACGCACGTGAAACCGCCATTTTCCCCCTCTCTCGACTCCTCTTATTGCCTACTTCACCCTCTGACCTTGAACCCCCTCCCTCCCTCGCCAAAACGATCGAAATCCCGCGATTTTTTCACATTAACCCACGCAAATTCATTCTCCATCGACCCACAACACTTTATCACACTGCACTCAACTGTTTTTCGACAATTAATTATCGAAATTGACGTTTTAACACTGAGTCGAAGGCCTCTAACCTTGAAATCGACCCCTCGCCCCCCAAAACGCTCAGATTCTAACGGATTTTTGATGTTCTCGTGAAAAAACTCATTGCTCACTGACCCCCAATATTTCTCGCCATTTCACTCACCACTTTTCGCGTAATTTCGTCGTTTAAACGTCCACCCGGCGTCTGTTGTTGTCTGGCGCACGTGAAACCGCCATTTTCCCCCTCTCTCGACTCCTCTTATTGCCTACTTCACCCTCTGACCTTGAACCCCCTCCCTGCCTCGCCAAAACGATCGAAATCCCGCGATTTTTTCACATTAACCCACGCAAATTCATTCTCCATCGACCCACAACACTTTATCACACTTCACTCAACTGTTTTTCGACAATTAATTATCGAAATTGACGTTTTAACACTGAGTCGAAGGCCTCTAACCTTGAAATCGACCCCTCGCCCCCCAAAACGCTCAGATTCTAACGGATTTTTGATGTTCTCGTGAAAAAACTCATTGCTCACTGGCCCCCAATATTTCTCACCACTTCACTCACCACTTTTCGCGTAATTTCGTCGTTTAAACCTCCACCCGGCGTCTGTTGTTGTCTGACGCACGTGAAACCGCCATTTTCCCCCTCTCTCGACTCCTCTTCTTGTCTCTTCCCCCTCCATTTCTCTTCTCGACCCGCTTCCCACAGGGAAAATCGCGTCTGATGTCACGCTTGTTTGTCAGCGGAGATAAGCATTGACATCACGATAAGAGGAACTCGCAGTTGTAGCGACCTGGGACACGATGGCTATTGCCAGGATCAAGAGTTTCCTTGACAATGGCTTGAAGAGTGTGGCGGCTCCCATGGACCGGACGGCCAATCTCGAGCCGGAGATCGGAATTAAAATTGTACATTCGCCCGGTGATAAGGAGCTCAGGGTCACCGTTGTTGGGGCCAGACACTTGCCGCAGAACTTTGGCTTCACCAGGGTCAACAGTTACATTGTCAGGGTGAGAATGAGGTGCAGGCCAAATTCACGGGGAATTCATTTTGGGGAAGAGTTCTGGTGAACTTCGGTTGGAAATTCTTTTAGCTTTCTCCAGGTTTTTTAAAATTATTTTTTCTTTAATTTTTTTTATTCATAGAAAATGTCGAATTGAATTTTCTATAGTTTTTTTTACTGAAATATTTTTTGTAGAAATTCCTCGATACAATTTTTTTTGTTCTATTCTTTTCTCCTCTCGTTACAATTCTTTTATTTTTTTTTATTGATAGAAAATGTCGAATTGAATTTTCTAGTTTTTTTTTCTACTAAAACATTTTCTATAGAAATTCCTCGATACAATTTTTTTTTCGTTCTATTCTTTTCTCCTCTGGCTAAAATTCTTTTAGTTTTCTTTTTTTTTTTATTGATAGAAAATGTCTAATAAAATTTTCTGTTTTTTTTTTACTGAAATATATTCTATGGACATTCCTCGACATAATTTTTTCTTTTTTTGTTCTATTCTTTTCGCTTCTCGTTAAAAAAAAAAACAGAACGAAAACTTAAAAATTTGAGCTGGGGAATTTCATAGACAATTTTCTGTATAAAACATTTTCTGTTGCAACATTTCATATAGGGATTCGTCGATACAAATTCCCTGATTTTTTTCACTCTATTTCCACCTAAAAAAATATAAAACTTGAGTCGACGAATTTCTACAGAAAATATCTCAATACAATACTATACAGAATTTCCAAATAAAATTCTACAGAATTTCCTAGCGGATTCATTCGTTTTTTAAAATAAAATTATTCGATCGACGATTTTACTTGTTCTCAATAACTTTCCTCTACCATCGCTTTCCTCAATTTCTCCAAAGATAAAACTCTTCCCTGGAAAAGATAAATTCGAGACCACGACGAAGAATGAATCATGGCCCCAGTGGAACGAGGAATTTGTGTTTCCCCTCCGCAAAGAGACGAAAGTTCGATTTGGAAAATCAAAAGTCACCGAGGAACAGATCGACGGATCGAAGCTGATAATAGCGACTCTCTACGCCATTCTAGAGGACAAGCCCCTGTTGGCGTCTGAGAAGAAGGAGGCGGACAAGGAGAATGCGAAGAAGAGTCAGGACAAGGACTTGAGGAAGAAGGATGGCTCAACTTCGGGGGCATCCGGTTCCCAGGAGGCCAAGTCCAATAAATTGCTGAGCCAATTCTTCAACAAGAGCCAGGACAAGGAGGAGAAGGCAGCTCCGGAGAGGAGGAGGATAGACCAGAGGAGGACTGTGGGGGCCACTACGATTCCTCTGGACCCCAAGAATTTTGGCACCAAACCAGCCAGGCCTAAACACCCCAATGATGTGTCCACTGGAGAACTCTGGAAACCATTGAGACCTATTGCCAGCGGAATCTCGGGAGCTGAAGACAGGGTAATTGTGATTTTTCTAGTATTTTTAATCACGTATGAAAACAAATTGTTTGAATTTATACGAATTTGAATTAAATTTACATGAATTTCCTATTTTTTTTCTTTCAAAAATTCTATTAGATTATGCCATTTTATCCTGACATTCTGTTGAGAGATATTTCATGGAAAATAGTCAAAAGATATGGATTTTTCTAGAGAAATTCTTGGGTATAAATTTTCCAATTTTTTTTTCGTTGAATTTTCAATAAACTTGGAGAATTCTTCTTCGAGAATTCTTACAGAAATAATAGATAGAATGAGTTGTATGGAAAAATCAATAGCTACTTTCTGATAAAATTTGGGTAAAAAATAGAATTTGAAAATAGTTCCACTGAAATTCCAAAGAATTTCGTCATTGAAATTAAAAAAATCGATGGAATCTGTGATTTTCTGTTTGATTATTCCCTGAAAATTTATAGAAATCACGAAAATTCTCGTAAACATACCCTAGAATTTTCAATTAATAGATCTTGAATTTGGAATTCCACTGAATTTTCTCCCTCCAATCCAATTAAATGTCGCTCCCCTATAATTCCGACAGGAATTCCTAGACTTTAATTTTGAAAATTTTCCCCTGCCAATTGGACCCCTCCAATCGTCCAAATTTATTAATTTCAATGCATTTCCGTCCCTCCACTCAGAGAGAAAATAAGAAGGGACAAGTGGAGCTGATCCTCATCCAAGAGAAAAGCGACAAGAAGGACGTGAGCGAAGGGAAACTCGTCCTCAGTTTGTCTCGACTGAGGTGCTCCCTCCAGACAATGCACGAGCAGGAGTCGATGAAGGGACAATTGTACATAAAAATGTCGGTGGTGGAGGGAGGACGGGTCACTCACTTCTGGAAGAGTGATCGGTTCAATCCCACGGTCTCCATGAAGTTTGCACAGGATCAGGCCCAAGTCATTGCTGATAATCCTTACGAGGGGGCTCTCAAGGACGTCAGCTTTGTTGTTAAATTTGTATCGAAGAATAAAATGGGTAAGGATGATCTTTAAAGATATCCAAGTGTTTGGGTTTAAAAGTTTAAACAATTTTAATGATTTATTTATAATAATAATAATAATAATTTACTAATTAGTAACAATGAATAAACGATTATTAATAATTATTCATTATTTATTTATTATTTATTGTAAATAATTGATAAACTATTATTATTATTATTATTATTCATTAAATTATTTATAAACACCGAATGTTTAAAAAAATGATAATTCCGTGCAAAATATTGTTTTAATGACGTTGACTATTCATAATTTTTTTTTAATTCTTCATTCTTTCTCAATTTTGAATTATTGCAATTAATAATTTTTTAAAAATAATGATTCTGAATTTTTTTTTTGTATATTCAAATACAAAATGAGAACATTTGGTTTAACTCAATAAAAAAATTAACTCATTCTCTTTCATCACTTCGCTATTGCATCTGAATTCTTCAATTGAAGAAATTTATTGTCTCGTTCCAGGAAAAAAAACAACTATTGGACATTTTGTCATCGGTCCAGACGTGGGTGGACAGTACAGTGATCAGTGGAAACAGGCGATGTCGAAGCCTGGACAGGCGATAACCAAGTGGCAGGCCTTTGAGTGATTGAACTAAGAATTCGATTAAACACTTGAATTGAGGTGTCGTGAACACTGTTTGTAAATAGACGTCGTAAAGCAACCGTCCTTGAGGTTCTCTTATCCGAGAATATTCAGTATTTCTTTGATAAGCACGATTATACAGTCCAGTGATGATTCAGTAGTGAAGAAGTCAAAAATGTCGAGCTATTTTGGAAATATTTACGAAATCATCTGGAAATTTGCGCTCAATTCAAAAGAGTTTTAGAAAGTAAAATAATCCCCAAATTACGTCACTGATTAAAAAAAAATTAATTTACTGAGACATTTTTTTGTGATCAATAAAAAAATGATGCTGTCGATTTTGAAAATATTTCGAGAACTAGTGGGTGTAGGAAAAAATGTCTGAGAACCTTTTTTGTAGCCCATTAAATTTTCTACAAAAAGTGTTTTCTCATATTTCTCGATAAAACCACTATTTTTGGAAATATTTACAAAATAAGCAAAACTGTTTTGCACTAGTTGTGAAAAATTCAACGACTTCACTATCGCTGACAGAACAAAATTAATTTTATTGAGATATTTTTCTTTTGAAATAGTATTATTCAGTAATGTTTTCTACTCATCAAACTCCATCCCCTCTTTCTAGTTGAAAAATCGTCTCACTTCGGTTGTGAATAAGAAAGAAATAATTTATCTAATGTAATATCTCTTAAGCGTGTGGAATAACTTCGAGATTGATTAATGCCACTTAAGATTGACCGTATTTAATTACCCACGTGACGATCCCATGAATCAGACAGGGGCATCACGAGTGGGTGGGTCACTTCTGGAATTGGAGGCAAATTCCTCGCTCAAATCACACCAAGAGGATGAAAATTTAATTAACATCCAAGTGCCATTAACAGTAATTAATAAAAATTGAGGTTTCATTGAGAGATCCATCACTCTGTACTAGTATTACTCGTCAAATGTATTTTTATTCTCATGTTTTTACAGTAAAAAATCATTTGCACGTATTTCTTCCGTTTTTTAAATCATTTCAGCCATTCACTTGTCGAGTGGAAAATAAATTCACAGAGAAAATTGAAGTATTTTTAGTCATGTTGTTCCACTCCGCAAGATGAATGCCACAAAAATCCTTTCATTAAGTCAGTTTAATTAATTATTTTAAAAATCTGGATTTTCGTCCACGTAAAAAATATATAAATTTTTATAAAAATGAAATAATTACATTTTAAGCTACTTTGGACGGTATGGAGACAGTCTCATTCGAACGAATGATTCAGCGTTAAAAGTACATTTCAGTAGTGGAGAATTAATTAGTTTTTGGGGTAAATCTCTGGGACTTTTTGTACAACTCAAGATATTCTTCGAAAACGTATTCACAAGTGGAATTGACTCATTCAATTTTACCATTTGCCAGTGGAAGTATTTTTCGTTAAATATTTTGGAAAAATATTCAACAAAGATGAAGTTAAAAAAGTGAAATTGACTGATTTTCTCGTTAAACTAATGAAACCAGAATTTTTGATGAATATCCCTTGATTTCCTCTCTCCCAGATCCCGAGATATTTCTCAAAAACTCCAGCTGTTTCCCCACCTCATCATTTCCTCCCTGTTACGTAATCCTAAATTTTCTATACAACATTGAGATTAATCTAATGGACGTCGGTATGAGATTCTCGATATTTCCCTTCAGTTAAGGCACCTACAATTTTTCCAGGGAACATTCTACATCTTTAAGGCAGTTCAAAATTTACAAATATATTTCTCCTAAATATCCGTTTACTTGAGAAAATTTATTTTTTAATATCGTATTTCTCCAGTCGATTCATTCCCAAGCAATTCTCATTAAGTTTCAATTACGACTACTATATTGCCCTAGAAGATGACCATATTTTTATGACGTTGACAAAACTCCCTCAATAATTAACAAAATTGGAAAATTACTCGCAAATTTTTTCCTCTAGAAAATAAGAAATTTAGGAAAAATGCAAAATAGTCATCCTCTCGAGAGACATCATTGTCATAATTGTCATAATTTACTCGATCGGAGGAATACGATTTTGAAAAAATAAATGCTTCTCTCAATTGAATGAATACTTGGCAAAAATATTGTTTTTCCATTTGATTTCTTCCCTGATCTCTCCCCCGCTCATGATTCGATCGATGTGGCGATGACTCCATCAGCATTGAGAGTATTAAAAGGTCGTGACGAGGAGGCTGTAGCCCACCACTAACACCCCAGTAACTAATGATGTAATCCACGAAATACTGAAGGTCGTGCCAGAGTTGCAGCCGTCCTTGGTGTTGCACGTGCAGTACTCCATGAATATATTGTACGAGCCAGTCCTCATCAGGCAGAATCTCTCGTCACGAGCGAGTCCAGGCTCACCCAGGAATGCACAGCTTCTGAAGTACGACCAGACTCCATTAACTGCAGGAAAAAAATCCACTGATTGCACATCACATCATTCAACACCAACTCATTGTTAAAAAATTAAACAGGAGAAAATGGAGTGTTGCAGAAAAGATGCAATTCAAATTCCAAAAATATCCATTCATCTTCATGATCATCAAGTCCTTTCAATTATTTTAATCTTTCGTGCTAATTTGGCATTGATATATCAATTATTCATTGCAAAAGTGTGAGAAAGATTATTCTCATTCCAGGATTTTTTATTTTAAATTTTCAAACATTAAACCTGAGGACGAACCTTTCTGACGAATTTTCCTACACATGGTGGGCTTGATTCCTGGCAAATGGTCCAACGTCTTCCCTTTGCAGTCTGAAATAGGTACAGTGGTGTTGTCGAAGGGATCCGCACATTTCGGGTCTCGATCTGATCTGCACACCCAGCACTTTATCGAGAAACCTGTGAAAACATGTGGAACAATGTAACAATGCCAAATAAATATTCACAACGTCATAGAAACAATTAGAAACTCGACTAATTTCTGAAAAACTGTAAAAATCATTATCACCCTTTAAATTATACAAAAATGGTAAAAAAATGGAAGAAAAATTTGTTTCCTTTGAATTTTATAAAGAAAATTATGATGGGAAAATTTCTCCAAGAATTTCTGTAGAAAAATAAAAATGTAGAGACTGTTCTATCAAATATCTCAATAAAATCATCAGTAAAATTGCACAGAATTCAATAGAATTGCCGGAAAAAATTGAATATTCAACAGAATTTCTTGCAGAAATTGCCAAATTAATTCTCACATGATAACAACGTGGGGAATGCAATTCCTGTGGACAAGATCGTAATGCAAAACATCAGATGTGTCAAAAAATGAGGGGCCTCCATTGCCCAGTACCTCATTTAATCGAACAAATGCTGTGTCTACGTTAAAATCCACCACAACAACGAATTAAAATTCTTAAAAAAATCTGAAAAATTGAATTTCCCTAATTACTGTAAGCATTCATCAACAATGACGCGCAGGCCCAACCCACCCGCACGTCTTCGAACATTCAAAACTTCTCGAAAGGCATTGGAAATGATCAGCACTCACCTTGTTCAATGAAGCAAATGAGCAGGACGAGGGCCACCAGCCCCTTCGTACTTCCAATACCGTTCCTCATGCTGATTAGTTGATTAATTAACGTGTAGTGATATCAACAACAAGATGATTAACCGCAAAACACTGCACGGTGTACCCTTCGACCAACTGTTGCGGGTATTTTTTTATTCTCTCGTTTATATCCGCAACATCGATGATTTTAGTTCGATTATTTTGTCGAAGAGAGCTGTAATTTCTTCTGGGTTTCGTTGGTGTTTCCCGCAGGTTTTTCAAGCTTATGCGAAAATTACGAGAATCGATCATCCACGCCTAGTAATTTGTATGCTGCGTCGCCATTACTCATATCCTCGGGGGAATTCGATGGACTTCGAGTCACGTGATGACCGAGAGTGGGGGGAGACCGCACCCCAACGATTTTTCAAAATAAATTTTGAGCAAAAAAGAGGTTTTTCCGAAGTTGGGATCAAGTTCGCCAAAATTCAAAACGTCAGGCGAGACGAATGTCCGAGATAAAAAATCCCTACGGAGACTATCCAAAATCATATAGTTGCACTATGGAATTTCGATTTACCGAGAATAAAACCGAAAGACAACAATTTGTAGATATGGATAAGACAGAATTTTTTCCTCATGCTCTGGATGTGATCGCAGAACAGCTGAGAGTTCTTGGTATTTGCCAGAGGCTTTAATTAACAAGATAACTGTTATTATGCAGATATTTATTTTAATCAATGTATAGTCAAACAATAAGTATAAAAGTATAAAAATGAAAATCAGATCGTTTAGAGACTCGTGATCACTTGGTATCTGACGTTCTTCCCTGCTCGAAGCTCATGGATCCTCTTGCAGTGTCTCAATACCGTCATCAGATTCAATTTCGTTTTATCCAATTTCATCTTGGTCTCTCTCAAATAATCATCAGCAGTGAAGAAGTAAATTTTCTCTGAAAGAAGGACAGAATAAATCAGCACACTGAGAGAAAAACGACAAAGTCCAGAAAATAGTTTTTTGAAAATTATCAAAAAAGAATTTTTTGTGCCAAACATGCAGAGAGTGCGCCGGAATGAGATATTTTTGTCGCAAAAATAGATTTAGTAGTTGAAAAAAATTGTATTCTCTGATCTACACGCAAGAAATGTCATTTCTAGCACATTTTGCTCCCGAATCTTTGTTTTATGCGAAACAAGGGATCGTAGTTTTTCGTTTCGACTGTCTAATGATCACAGACAAGAAATGAACCCTTAAATGAAACAATAATAATGATATGATAGCGATCTTGTAATTTAGGGATAAAATATTTGTTGATAAATTTTCCTCTGTATGAGATATTCATCCTGAAAAGGCACCGTCTGGTGTGAATTATCCGCCTCTTGATCAAAATATTTCGTTGCAGTCGAAAGCAATTATTCAATTATTCATGTTTGAGACTTTCAAATTCAAACCAAACAAATTCTTTTCTGGCAATTTTCAACTAGCGATTTTTTTGGCCCAAACAAGACTTGTTTGACAACGTATTTGTTTTTCTCTCAGTGTAGTCCAGTAAATATTTTGGAAATCGCTCTGAAACTGGTGGATTAATAAAAAGAGAATGTCAAAAACAATTTATAATTTTGAATTTTATGATCATTTACCAGTTCCAGTTCCTTTAACATCGCTCTCCTCCTTCTTAAACTGCAAATACAGATCCAATTCCCCCTTTTTCCTCGCCCCATTCTTCCCCAGACTGAGCAAACTGTACTTGGCCTTCATGATCTGATTGATGGCCCCCACGAAGGCGTTGATATTCGCCAGAGTCTGTCTGCCGATCATGTACTTGGGAATCCTCGAGAACTCGTCCTCGGTGAGGGCTTCGATGCTGTAGGAGTCCTCAGCCTCTCTGAAGAGGGCTTTCCTGCAGTCCTTCACCTCCTCCGTGTTCATGTCATTGGTCACGAGGCTCGCCATCTCCTCCAGGGGGTCTGGTTTCTTCTCCGAGGTCTTCGTGACTTTAATTATTGGTGTCTTGCCCTCCTGGGGCTGGGATTTAGCCAAATGCTCCAGCAAACTCACGGGAACGTTGTTGCTCATGTGGACGATTTTTTTGTCGAGATTGGAGAAGAGGGAGCTCAAATTCTGGAAGATCAAGGCCATGATTATGAAATCATTGATAAGAGTGTTGAAAAAATTTCAGAGAAAAACCCAGTGAATTCGCTGGACAATTCTATTGGATTTTTATTCAACTTTTTGTTAGTTTTTGGAAAATTCTACTGAAATATTCAATAGAAAATATTCTACAGAAAAAATAAATAGAATTCGATTTTTCTGGTCAACTTATTCTATTCTTATTCCTCGACTCAATTTTTTTTAGATTTTCTCGATGAAAAAAAAAGAAAAACAGAATGAAAAAAGCTTGGTCAATTTGAAATTGCAAATTTGCAAATTCGCTAGGTTTTTCTATTATCTTTTTTCGAAATTTGTAAAAGAAAAATTCTCAATAATTAACTTTCTGCTTAATTGTACAGAAAAATGAGAATGTGTGAGAATGTTGAACTTTACCTGGGATTTTGGTTTTTTACCTTGCAGACGTCGTTCTGATTCTTCATCTTCTCCAGAGTCTGGGCCAGACCGAAAATCCCCTTCTTTATTATCTCGATGTCCTGCTTCGCCTCGAGTAAAGCGTCTCTCAGCCCCTCTTTATCTAGGATAATTAATGATTAATAATGAAGCTCGTGAAATTTCGGAGATGCTGAGGCTGTTCGAGGAGATAATGAGCTTACGTACTTTGCAGGAATACAGTAGCCATCTGGAGCTCACTGACCCTCTGCACCTGCTTGTTGATGACTTCCTCGAGACTCTGAATCGTCGTCATGATGGTATACTCGATTAATCCTAATTCTAAAATTAATTAATGATAATTAAAATGTGTAGCAAGTCCCAAAAAACTTCAGATACAAAAAAATTCAATTTTACTGTTTAAAAAATTCTAAAAGTTCAATTCCTCGAGACTCTGAATCGTCGTCATGATGGTATACTCGATTAATCCTAATTCTAAAATTAATTAATGATAATTAAAATGTGTAGCAAGTCCCAAAAAACTTCAGATACAAAAAAATTCAATTTTACTGTTTAAAAAATTCTAAAAGTTCAATTCCTCGAGACTCTGAATCGTCGTCATGATGGTATACTCGATTAATCCTAATTCTAAAATTAATTAATGATAATTAAAATATGTAGCAAGTCGCAAAAAAATTCCAGATGCAAAAAAATGAATTTTACTGTAAAAAAAATTCTAAATGCTCATTTCCTCGAGACTCTGAATCGTCGTCATGATGGTATACTCGATTAATCCTAATTCTAAAATTAATTAATGATAATTAAAATATGTAGCAAGTCGCAAAAAAATTCCAGATGCAAAAAAATGAATTTTACTGTAAAAAAAATTCTAAATGCTCATTTCCTCGAGACTCTGAATCGTCGTCATGATGGTATACTCGATTAATCCTAATTCTAAAATTAATTAATGATAATTAAAATGTGTAGCAAGTCCCAAAAAACTTCAGATACAAAAAAATTCAATTTTACTGTTTAAAAAATTCTAAAAGCTGATCAATTCCTCGAGACTCTGAGTCGTCGTCATGATGGTATACTCGATTAATCCTAATTCTAAAATTAATTAATGATAATTAAAACATGTAGCAAGTCGCAAAAAAATTCCAGATAAAAATTCTAAAAGCTAAATTCAACAACAATAAACTACTAAAACATTTCCCTCAAAATTTCAATTCCTACATATTTTAAAAATAAAAAAAATCACCTTTCCATAAAAAAAATTCAAAACCTCAATTTAACAACAACAAACTAATCATAAATATCCCCCGAACCAAATTCATTAATCCTTTTGAGGTTATGCAGCCCCTCAAAACGGAGCAGGTCCCCAAGCCCCCAAAACTCCCCCCGAACGATGAAAAACGCCCACGAAAAATGTTCCTCAGCCTCTCAGGCCCTCGAAATTAGCAAAAAAAATCTAAAAATCATTATTTACCTTGAGTTAACTCTTTTGGAGCGGAAAGGCCGGCTCGGAGTGATTGGGGATGATTGCCGTTTGAATTCAAACTATTCAAACAATTTCCTGATGCCACAATCCCCCAGAGGACGTCTCTGTCGTTCCATACCCCATTCGTGATAATGCCCGTTCTGTCCGCAGTCTGCCAACTCAGCCGAGTTTTTCCATCGGTCAGATCCACCTGGGGATGTGTACATATTGTCCCACATACGTGTCCTTACCACCGAGGAATTGGTACAATTATTTATAAATTAAAAGAGGAAGAACAGTAGAATTAATTAGGGGATAGTTGTTTCGTTGGAGATCGTTCCATCTCCTGGACTAGAGTGCGATTATCCGGAGCAAAATGAACTCATTGACGTGCGGTTTAGTGACGTGCCTGGTGATGATGGTCGTCGACGTCCAGGGTATCATGTTCTATCTGGAGCCCAATGGACGCAAGTGCCTGAGGGAAGAGCTGCAGGCACAGACTCTTCTCACTGGGGAGTACCAGGTGTCCGATGTGCCTGGACAGAGGGTCGACTATGCGGTGAGTTCGGTATTGATGACGTTTGCAGGTGCGGAAGGCAGGTTAGACGATGAGAACTTCTAGAGGTGAAGAAATGAAGTGAAACCTCGGCCAATTCCATTTTTTAATTTTTTTGGAGGACGTGGGGACGATATTAATTGAAAATCCGAAGCTTTCGTTAGGAAATTGCATTGGATTTCTCTTGGAGTTGTGTTAAATTTTATTCAATGATTTTATTCTTTGAAGAAAATTGTTTATCTGATTTATCCCAGAGGTTCGTTTTACGATTGAAGCGGAAATGATTGAATAAATATTAGTCTTTGAACCTTCGTCTATGCAATTCCATTTTTTTTTCTTATTTTTTTTAAGAGGAAGCACGTGTGGGAATTTTTAATTGAGAAATCCGAAGCTTTCGTTAGGAAATTGTAGCGAATTTCTGTTGGAGTTATGTTAAATTTTATTCAATAATTTTATTTTATGAAGAATTCCATTTCAATAAAGAAAATCGCTGATCTGATTTATCCCAAAAGGTTTGTTTTACCGCACCTTCAATGACTTTTCTTTAGTACTCCATCATTAGAAGACGCGGGGACAATATTAATTGAAAATGTGAAATTTTCGTTAAAAAATTGGATTGAATATTTACTGGAAATCTATGAAAATTCTGTTGGAGTTGTGTTAAATTCTGTCCAATAATTTTATTTTCTAAAGAATTCTGTTTCCATGCAGAAAATTGTTAGGGGAAAGGCGAATGAAATGAGCTGTTTTTAAAGTTCTAAAATTTTCTTCTTTATTTCGACGATACTGTATTAAAATTAATAACTAATTAACATATATTAAAATTAATAACTAATTAAAAATATTCCTGTAGCCCTTTTGAATCACCTAACGTAATTTTCACGTTCACATCCACAGGTCAAAGATTCAAAGGGAAGTATTCTCTCACAGAAGGATGATATTCCTCATGGCAGAAGCTGGAAATTCTCCTTCATCACTGATACTCCCGATACCTTCGAGATCTGCTTCATCTCGCACGTGCAACAGCGTAAGTTCTCATCTGCCTCATCCCCACTAGATCGAAAATAATTTCCTTCTTCCATTTATTACTAATCCAAATCAGGTTTTATCAATTCACATATGAAAAAATTCAATAGAAAACCTAACGAATTCGCTAGAAAATTCTATTGAAATTCTATAGGAATTCTATTTTGTTTCTATAGAAAAAACTCAAGAGAAAATAATAGAAATATATAAATATATAATAGAGAAACAATAGAAACATATTTATATCAATATTTATATTTTTTATTCATAGAAACAATTCTATAACATTTTATAATTCTATTAGGAAAAACTCTAGAGAAAAATTCGAACAAAAATTCAAAATATATTGACTATTTCGTATCAAGTATGCAATAAAATCAACGCAAAAAAATAGAATTTTTCAATTGAATTCCCATAGAATTTTCTAGCGAATTCGCTAGTTTTTCCATTGAATTTTTCATGCGTGCCCCCATTACAATCTCCAATTTACTGTGGATAGACAAATTTTTTCACTTTGCATACGTCTCACCATTTTTTCTCATTGTTTACTAATTACCTTAACTCACAGATCAACGAGGAATGAAGCAAGAAATTACCCTGAAGTTGAAGCACGGGGTGGAAGCCAAGAGCTACGAAGCTGTGAGTACCTCCCACCTAAAAATAACTCATCACGTCATTTTATTTTTCATTTTTTTACTCATGAGCAATACTTTAGACTAGTCTCCAATGATCAATGGATATTCAATTTAACGAATATTTTTTATTTCATCTTTTATGGGAACTTGTGTGGGCGGGACAGATGGTAAATCTTATTTATCAATTAATTTTTGTTGTTTCACGTTGAGTTTTTATCCCACACATTATTGTTCAACAGTTTTATTTGACAGCTGATTTTGGATTGAAGAATTTTTGGATAATCCCGATGACTGGTGGTTTGATATGTCTAGAGACAAATTGCATTGTTGATGAGAATGACAGAAATTTTAATTGATAGTTATGTTAATTAATTTAATTAGTATAATTAATTTTATTTTGTACGAATAATATTTTCAAGATGAATCCAAATTTTTCTGACACCTTTAGTAAATTTATTATGACATAAACAAATGCATAAATGAATATTAAATATCAAATTGAATTAAATTAAATTGATATTAAATTGAATAAACTGTGGAATGATCTCATTAATTAATGAGAAATGAAGAGGTCTTTTGACATGTTCTAAAAACCACTCGATCCTCTCATGTTGATTGCTTTGAATATTTAGGCACTAATTGTTTCTTAACCGGGTTTACCCATCCTTTTGTTGATTAATCCATTAATGAATTCTAAAAGTCGCTAGAAATTTCCTGTTCATTAATTCAACACAAGAAAATTATTTTAATTGTCCATTTTCGACAGATTGGAGAGGCAGCAAAATTGAAGCCCATCGAGGTTGAACTGAAGCGTTTGGAGGATTTGTCACAAGCTATCGTCCAAGATTTCGCAAGAATGCGTCAGAATGAAGAGCAAATGAGAGACACAAACGGTGAGTGCCTAACAAAATTTAAAAAGTACAAAAATTTCGCTCAAATCTCAATGCTTCATTACAAACTGATTTTTTATTCAACTTGACCCAATTTTTTCGTTCCATTTTCTCAACGAGAGGAGAATAAACAATAAAAAAACAAAAAAATTCATGGCGAGGAATTCCTTTAGGAATATTAAAAAAACAGTTTAATTTTTTATTCAACTTATCCCAAGTTTTTTCGTTCCATTTTCGCAACGAGGAAAATAAAAAGTGTAAAAACACTATAAAAATTGATGTCGAGGAATTCCTTTAGGAATATAAAAAAACGTACAGTAGGACTTCGAAATTTCTCATTCCAAATGCACCAGAAATTCTCAAAAACTCATCTTTTTTCCCATGAACTAAAAAATAAAATTTAATTTTCCAGAAACCACAAACGCCCGTGTCCTCTACTTCAGCATATTCTCAATGTGTTGTTTACTGGGTCTAGCCACATGGCAGGTATTCTACCTGAGACGTTTCTTCAGAGCTAAAAAACTGATCGAGTGAACGAGGGTACAGCTCTTCCAAGTGTACATGTTGGTCTGTGTGTGCCTGTGGTAAACAAAAGAACATTGATAACGATCACAAAGTGTATAATAATTCAAAAAATATTTTTGCCAGAGTGAGAACCATTCGGGGTGTCGAGTTTGTTCGTACGAACGTGTTATTTTAATTCCACTTGAAATTTTTCATGTCATCCTTTTTTTTAATGTGAAATAAAAAACAATGTCTCATACAATTACGAAGAATTTATGATTTGTAACTGCAATCATTGTATTAAATTCATGAAAGCACGGGGGTCATAACAATGCAGTTAATAAAAATTTGTTCAATACTTCACACTTCATTATTTCGAGTGCATGGTTTTGGGATTGTGAAGGGAAAAATGAAGAAACAGCTTTGATGTATGAAGAGTAAAATAAGTTTAATAATTAATACGCATATGGTTTTATCTCAACATGTCCTCCTGACCAAATATCAATCAGCTGTACAATTATTCATCGCCCATCGAGTTTAAAATCCATCACAGTAACACCGTGAATCAACAAAAACCAGGACAGTAGCGAATGGGTAAAACGATTCAAGTCGATTGAGCCCCAATATCTCCGAGCCTAAGGGAGATAGCGAAATTTTCGTGATGACCTTTTTTCTAGCCCTCAATTCGCTCTACAAAAAAGGTCCCAACAAAAATTTTGCTATCTCCCTCAGATTTCGAGATATCCATCGAAATCTCGCCAGTCAAAATCGATTTGAACTGTTTTCATCGCTTCACTGCTGAATAAATCTTCACAAAAAAAGATTCAGTATTAATAGCACAATAATTTGATTCAGTATAACAGAAAAATCATCTGGAACGTGTGTAAAACTTGCTCGAAGTTATTTACGGATTGACCAGAGTGGGTCAAGTTGACTCAGGGGATCTACTGGTTTAACTCTATCAGTCTTATCCTCGGTATCAGATGTTTTCGGTTTACTCTGCATCTGGCTTGCTGTTTCGTTATTCTGTTGTCTCGCTATACCACCGACTCCTAAATTATGAAGAAAATCGTCAGAGGGATGACAGTGTTTAACGGTTTTTCCTTTACCCTTTAAACTGTCAAATCCATCGAATGTCGATCTCGTCGATGATAAAATCCCTCCTGGAAGCAGCATAAACAGAAAAAAAATCCAGATGTAATGAGCGAGTCGTCGATTTCATGGGTCAATAGTGAAGTGATGAAAGATAACGTTTGCAGGGAGAAATATGAAAAGTTTGTGAGAACTCCTTCGAAACTCTCTCTTAAAAACGAAATCTTTGTCACTTCGCTGTTGAATTTTACACTGAGCAGCGAAAGAAATTATCAAAAAATACCTTCAATATCCAATCGAGCAAATTAATTATGGAAAAAGAAAAATTAATGATAAAATCCAGGGACTTTCAGATTTTAAAGCCAAATTAAAAACATTTTCTCAACAAAATGATCTATTATACACAAACACCCAATTTAAAAAATTGAAAGAGAAAGAAATTCCATTGTGTACATGTATAAAAAAAATTGATAAAAAATCTAGCTCTGTCTCTAAGAAATTCTATTGGAATTCTATCAAAAATTACAACGTATCCCCTCGTTTTTGAATAGACAGTTATTTATATAAAAATCAACATCTATAGACATTTTTCCGCAAAACTGAATCCTTCGATATTTTTTAAATAAGAATTAATGAGCATAATTTTTCTGTTTTAAAATGAAAAATTTTATTATGAAGAATTTCCACAAAAAAATAAAAATATATTAACATTTTTTAATCAAATATTTCTTAGCAAAATGCCACGATAAAATGACAATCTCCCCAAAAAAAATATTCAAATAAAACTCCAGTCTCATTCCTAGACCTCCAACAGAGATGCACCCCAATAAATGCAAAGAACCGCAGCCCAAGACCTCCCCATCAACGAAAAAAAAACTTACGCTTCATGAGGCTGTCCTGCGCATAATAAAGTACCATGCGATATCCAAAGAGCAGTGAATCCCTATCAATGAGGCACTTTCGGTACTTGGCGAGTGTGGATAAAACAAGAGGCACATCAACGATGCCATGGCCAGCGCGCACATGACAGACAGTGGCAGCAGCAAGTACAAAGAGTCCACTGAGGGGTCCCCCAGTCATGCAGTGAACGACAATGGGCCTGGGGCAGTGCCTCAACGCCTGCTCAGACATAATATCAGTGGCAAAAGATAGAAAGCCCCCAGGACTGCTGGGGAATCCCCCGCGCGGCCACGACGAGTACTGCATGTGCACAACGACCTTCTCAGCCCTCTCCTTGGAGTTGAAAACCGTGATAACTCGCCTGACATAGCTGGAATGATTCGTCAGTGTCTTCAGCTGAAGATTGAACCCCCCAACAGACAGCCCCCCGCCCTCGCTGGGCCAGTAGATCTCCTGATTATCCATCTGATCATCGCTGCAGAGGCAGGCGACAACCTCGCTCCCCTGCTCCCAGATCATCCCCCAGAAGGCCTCAATAGTTCCACTGGAGACTGGCGCCTGAGTGATGATGAAAATCGGCGTCCACTGGGTCAAGTCCTTAACATGCGAGGCATTAATATAATCCGAGCTGCCCTCCCCCAGCTTCACCCTGGTCGAGTCATAAGGGATCCAGTCAGACGACCTGTTCTCCCCCACATGCGCCAAAGCAGCAGTGAACCCCTGCCTCTTGGACTCCCTCTCCTCAAACTCTCGAATCTCCCTCCACTTGTTCTCCAAATTCGTCGATCCACTCAGAGTCTTGACAGTCAGGCTGTCGACAAATTTCTCGTACTTCTCGATGTCAGCTATGAATTTTTGGAGTACGACGGGATCACCCAGGGGATCCCTCTTGGGTTGAACGTCGTTGTACCACGTGTCCCAGACGATTTGGAGATTTTCGTGCTTATCGTCCAGCTGGAAGGGGCGCTCTTCCCTCGGAGCACTGGCTTCGTCATTCAGCTCATTCCTCTTCTCCTCTTTCACGTGTTTCGGCATCTCCGATGTCTGAATTTCAGGCACCAGTGGTGCATGATTTATCGTTATGTCGAGATCAGCGAGAAGATCGAGATTTGATTTTTTTGTCGTTTGGGATGGGTTAACGTGGGGTCTTTTTGTTCCTTCATTCACCCCTGAGGGTGTGTAATTATGGGGTGCCTGATTAGGTGCTGCACCTGGTGGCACTTGATTGTTTATCGTGATACTGTGATGCACCTGATTCGAAAAAGAATCAGGTCGCACCTGACCAGGGGCATATGCAGAAGGTACCTGATTGTAAGTGCTTTGTTGTGACTGTTGATTATTTACTGCTGCACCTTGAGCCTGATTAGGTACTACCCCATGCTGCGCCTGATTGCCTGCAGCATACTGTGTCTGGTTGGTCACCTGATTGGGTACAACCTGATGCGCCTGATTCGTCACCTGATTAGGCACCCCCTGCTGCCCCTGATTACTCATCCCCCCACTTTGTGATACTCCACCCCCATAATTATTCCCTACAGCATGATGTGCCTGATTGTTCACCTGATTGGGCACAACCTGATGTGCCTGATTTGTCACCTGATTAGGCACCCCCTGCTGCCCCTGATTACCCATCCCCCCACTTTGTGCCACCCCACCCCCGTAATTCTGCCCAGCCTGATTGTCAACCTGCGCGCCCTGCACCTGATAATAATCCTTATCCCCTCCATTCTCCTGATAGCTCGCGCCATTGGTGTAAGGTGATGAAGTTAAATTAGTAACAGCTGCATTATTAGCACTCGTATAATGCGAATTATTGCGCCGATTCAGCGCGCCATCAGTCACCTGCACCTGCTGCGCCTGAATCTGCTGTGAATAACCTGAACTGTACTGATACAATCCCGACGTGGCATCGTACGAGTATCCCGGATGTCCCTGATACGAGTCCGTTTGCCCCTGCCAATTGCCACCTGCACTGTACCCCTGCGAGTAATTCGGGTATAACTGTACTGAGCTACGATGCCCCTGAATCGAGTAATTCTGATAATTCTGATTTGGTATATAGGCACCTGTTGACTTTGTGTGACTCTGAATTATCGTGTCAGTGGGCTTCGAGTAGGCAGGCACATTTGTCGTGGTTGCCTGATTGTAAACCTGACCGTAATTCGGGTAGTTAGAGTCTTGTTGAGTTGCCTGAGGCACTTGACTCGTTGCAGGCATCATTTGCTTGTAGTACCCCATTTGCATCGGCTGCTGATCCCCTGACCCACCTCCCACACCTGAATTACCATAATTACCTGGATCACCTGAAACAGGTACCCCTGAGCCTGGCACCCCTGAGACAGGTGCACCTGAAACAGACATGCCTGAATAGCCCTGATTGCCGTAATTGCTCGGTGAATTAACCTGGGGATATCCATACCCCTCCCTGCTATCAGGCACTGTCGGGTGCACCTGAGCCTGAGGAATAACAGGGGTCGGCTGAACGTGAGCCTGAGGCGTCACAGGTATCGGCTGCACCTGCGCCTGAGGGGTGACAACAACCTCAGGCCTGTTGGGCACAGGTGCATGCGCAGGCGACTGATTGACAGTTGTCAGGGGTTTATGATCTACTGATGCCCCTGCACTCTGTTGCACCTGATAATAACTCTGATAATCCTGAGCACTCTTGCCACTCGAATATTCAGGATAGGGGTAACTAGGATTGCTCACAGGTTGAGGGTGGGACGCAGGTGGATATCCCTGCACCTGGGGCACCTGATACTCCCCATCGCCCTTGAAATTCGTGTAACCTGCGTACAGAGTACTGTCACTGGCAGTTTCAGTGGGTGTTGTGCCTGCCTGACGATACATATTATCTGAATTCGTTGTTATCGATCTTGGCAGGCCCTGACTCGAGTCAAAGTCCACTGAATACTGGGGATATGGATTCACCTGAGGATTGACCTGAGGTGCAGCTTGAGGATTGACCTGGTAGTAGCCCTGATTGGGGTAGTAGTATCCCTGATAGGCCTGATCCTGATACTTCACAGCATCAGCACTGGGATTAGGCGCAGAAGTGCCTGACGACAGGGTGTGAGTATTGGGCTGCACTGAGACAACAGGAATCTGCTGTTTGCCCTCACTGTACTGGTAATAGTTATTCGGGCTTATGGGATTCGTCTTCATGCGGTTAATCAGGTGATCCCGCAGCTTCATCCCTGAACCCGAGGGCTTCTTCTCCCCGACATTGACCGATATCACGTTCTCGTCAGCTTGGTAGACATGAGGCTTCTCGTTTCTCGCTATTATCTGCTCTCGCTCCTCCTCCTGGACTCGGCAAGTGCTCTTCACCCTCTGGAGGAGCTTCGTGACGTTGACCTCCAGCTTTCGGTAGAACTCGAGGCCCTTCGAGGACTTGGACATGAGGTCCTCGTAGGCGTCGTAGGAGGCTATCAGGGAGGTTATCATCATCTCTCGACGCTTCAGTACCTCGTCAACGGACTTTCTCGTCTCAGCAGTCCTCGCGTAGGCGTCAGTCAGCGCCGTCAGGATGTTGTCCTGAGCTGATAAGTTCTTGTTGATGAGGTCCACCAGGGACTGGTGCTTCTCCAGCTGCTCGGTGAAGAGGGAGTCCAGAGGGACAGACTCTGCTGTGGCTGTCACCAGGAGTCTCGTCAGGTTGTCCTGAGCTATGGAGTCCCTCAGCTTCGAGTGCAGGTCGCTCCTCTGTCTCTGCATCTCCTCGACCTTCCCCAGGATTCTCTTGAGCTCTCTGACATTCTGCTTGTCAGCCTCACTCGTCGACACCGAGGCCCCCTCCCGCTGCTTTATCGAGGGTATCTTCGAGGAGAGGTCGCTCAGGGGCTGCGACAGCACCTGCAGGTTGCTCAGGTGGAGGGCCATCGCTCGGTGGAGGGCTTGGTTGCTCTCAGAGGCCTTTGCGTGGGCCTCCTCGTACTTTTTGGCCTCTCGAGTCAGATCTGTCGCCACGATCGAGGGGGGACGCTTGCCCATCGTCTCCTGGTACTGGCGCTCCTTCAGCTCCTCCTCCTTCAGGAGCTTGTCAATGTCCTTCAGCATGGCCTCCACGTCGCCGTAGGTGATCGACAGCTTACTCATCATGTCTTCCAGGTCTTTGATCGCGTTTGGACGAGCGTTGAGGGCTGCGCAGCGCTCCACCAGCTCCTCGGGGAGGGCCAGAACGTCCTCGGAGCTCGTGGGAATGTCCGGGTCCCAGAGGGTCAAGTGCTGGAGCTTCAGGCTCGACAGGTAAGTCTCCAGGATCTGGTCCTTCTCCTCGATGTTTCCTCCCACCGAGCGCAGGATCTTCGCTTTCTCCTCTGAGTAGAGGGAGCTGGCCTCGTGCACCTGCATCGGGACCAGTCGAGCGAATATGTCGGGGCCCGATATCTCCGGGTCGTTTACGTTGAAGGAGATCCCCTTCACCAGCGATGCGCCGTTCACTGTTGGCAGCATGTCCTTCTCGGGGACCTCCTCGTGGTAGATGAACTCGTTCTCGTTCTTGGCTGCCTTGCGCTTGCCCTCAATCACGTCGTTTGTGAACACCAGCGCCTCCTCTATGGCGTCTCTCTCCGTGGGAATCCCCGTTATTCCTCCGGCTCCCTTGGCAGAGGTGTGCAGCCCGCGCGCTGTGTTCAGGGAGGCCAGCGCGGCGTTGTAGAACGCCACTCGCTCACCCATCTTCTGCTGCTCCTCTGCGGCTAGACCCTGGTAGAGGTACGTCACTGACATGTGGTACGAGCGCTTGAACTTCACGTAGTTCTTCCACGATTTGTAGATCTTCGAACCTACGGCCTCACCTGCGGAAATAGGATTTTTCCCGCCTGTTACGATGGGGTTTTTTACTTGTGTCGCGTTGGCCTCCGAGCCGTAGGCGAGGAGTGGCCAACCTCACGAGTAAAAAAACCCCATCGCAACAGCCCAGGAACAATATTTTTAGGTAGTGATTTTCATGTTTTCGAGTTTGGGAAGTATGTAATACCAATTCCCAGACGAGAAATCGTGAGAGGCAGTACAGAAATAGACCTTTTCATTCTGGAAATCTAGGGGAAATATTTATTTCGTTCATTCAACGAAAAAATCAACGAAAAAATAAGGGAAAATTCTGATAAATATTGAACTTTACAATGATATCGCATGTTTAAAACCAAAAGGTCGTATATGGAAAAAATGGCCTTCTCTGGCAAAAGGTCGTATCCGCCAGCATATACGACCTTTTGCTTTTGGGAAACCTATCAAAGTGAACCAAAAAAATCAAAATGTCTCGAGTTTAAGTTATCAATGGAGAAACGACCTGTTACTTTTGATGAAGTTGGAAAAATGTCTCACCTAAAGCAAAAAGGTCGTATATCCAATTTTATATTTTGTTTGCACTTTGATATTTCCATCTTTTTGAAAAAGTTTCCTCAAATTTTTCATTACAGAAATTAGAATATCCTCCTAGTCATTGAGAGAATGAAGAATATAATTCCTTTATGCGTTGAATAATCGTGCGCCCATGAATTCACGATTGTTAATCATCATAATCTGATAATACATTTCTCCAGTATTTTCACGCAGAATTGTAGAAAGAATAAGTGGAGATACGACCTTCTCACTTTAAGAAATTCGGAAAGTAGCTTTTTGGCGTTTACGACCTTTTGCTTTTAGACACGCGATATGAATCGCAACAACCCAGGAACAATATTTTTCTGTAGTGATTTTCAAGTTTTCGAGTTTGGGAAGTATGTAATACCAATTCCCAGACGAGAAATCGTGAGAGGCAGTACAGAAATAGACCTTTTCATTCTGGAAATCTAGGGGAAATATTTATTTCGTTCATTCAACGAAAAAATCAACGAAAAAATCATGGAAAATTCTGATAAATATTGAACTTTACAATGATATACACTTGAGCGCTCAAAAACCATGATTTATATGTAAATTCGATAAAGTCTCCGCAAATCCTAGAATGAAAAGGTCGTTATTGCTCAAGGATATCCAAGCACTTGGGTATTTTTTCGAGAGGGAAATGCTCTTCTAATTTTTGTGGGCGAACATCGGAGCTCTCATTTCGGCCTCGGTTGACCCTAAGTTTCCGGAGATTTTATGATGGTTTATTGTTTGAACTTTGTGGGTCTGAATTTGAATCTTGACAGTGAACTGTTGAAATATTCTAAAAATCTGAATTAGAAAATTTTAAAAAATTAGAAAACTCACTTTTGGAGGAAGATTAATTAATCACAAATTTGATGACTGAAAATGGTCTGTAGGAAAACTGTAAACGATACTTGGATATTCTTAATCCCTAATGGCGTGTAAATATGTTTCATTATACTATGAATGAGTATTGAGAAATTCACATTTTTTAAATGCCGTATCAATGAGTAATAATGAACAATTAACAATAAAAAAATTTTCTTTGTCATCGGGAGTTACTCCTTAATATGTCAGAGTAGTCATTCAATCAATAATCAAATCAAAAATTTTTTCATTATTCTAATGAATTGGATTAATTGGTTTTGTTGACGGTCAAAATATTCAGTACTGTGACGATGGACAATGATTATCGAAATGTCATTTCGTATGATGACAATCAGAAATAAAAACATTCTAGGTACACATTACTGAATACTCATCTAATTAATAATGAAATCTATCTCATTAACTGAACATTTTTAGGGAAGAGCTAAAATAAGATAGCGAATTAAAATGGACAATGAACAAAAAATTGGGCAGTTAGGTCCGTCATATGACAATCATTTTTCACTAAGAGGAGAGTTTATAGTGTTTCACATCTTGTGACGAAGATAATCTGATTCTATTATCCATTTCGAAGATAATGAAAAATTAATCTGCTTTCATTATTCATGACGAAAGAAATGAGGATTTTGTTTTTCATTTTCCACTGATATTAAATGAAAATTAATGTTGTGCCATTATTAATTAATAAATTATTTGTTTCTTGTTTCATTTTCATTTCTCATTAGTATTATAATGAAAAATACATTTGGTATGATGATTCATTACGAAAAATAAAAATCAATTCATAAAAATGAATTCAATTTTTCGTTGACCATTGATATGCTAATGAAATAATAATAACGGAAATTATTTTCCTGCCGATCTCAGCTCACCTATGGGACTCTCGTCGTTGTTGTTGGGTTCCAGGGTGCGCAGGGCTAGGCCGTAGTAGTCTACGATTTGCTTCGCCACCTTGGCAACGATCGTTGGCTTTCGATTGTCAAGCATGCTCTTCTCGAGAATGCATTCTTGCGCCTGGGCGAGCGACAGCTGCTGCATGAACTTCATCAGGTCCGGGGACATGTCCACACCGGGGAGGTGGGGGTAACTGTTCTGCAGGTGCTCGAACGCCCAGGCGGCGCATTGAAAGTGGGAACATGCCAGTTTCATACCGTCAGCCGACGTGCGCTCGGTTTTACTGCCGAGTTGACTGTGAATTGCGCCGATGTTGTACAGGATTGAGATCAACTCGAAACGAATGTTCGAGAGGGTGAACACCATGTTTGTGTAGGTGTCTTTCCTGGAAGAGACATGTTGGAGGACTTTGATACTGACATTTATAAAAATTACGATGTTGACATTCTTTCATCGAGGTCTATTTAGGTTCTTGGAATTTCTATCACATAGTTTCAGGGAAATTTCAAGGGATTTTGGTATGATAATTCGAAATTTCAAGGAAGTTTCAGGTTTCTAAATTTTATGCGCGATAAAATTCGGGGACAGTTGATTAGGATTGACCTTGAATTTCGAGAAAAATCATGAAATTTTACATTTCATTGAAAATTCAGTGAAATTTCATTCTTTGCAGCAGCAGGAAGACGTGAATTTTCCAAATTATATAAATTTTCAATGAAAACATGGGCATCCAGTCCTAAATTACCCTCAATTTCCAATTTCCTCTGAAAGAAAATAATCTCATATTTATCCCCAAAAATTCTAGTTTTAACAATATTTGCAAAATTTTTCCCATAACGCTTATTACACTTTAAAATTTTATGGATAAAAATTCAGGGACAGTTGATCAATATTTTCCAGGAGCGAGAACACGTCATGAATATTTTTAAAAAAGTCAAGTGTCCATTTTACCCCGCCCTCCCCTAGCAGACCAAAAGGTCAGACCAAAAAAAGTGCTCAACTCCAAAAGTGGGGAAGGTGGGGTAAAATGGACACTAGACTTTTTTTAAATTACTCCTAACTCAGAAACAAATTTATCAATGGAGCTCAGTTTAGGCTCATCACAAAGGGCGAGAATTGCTCTTTGAATTGAAAAAAAAATTATTGAATTTCCTCACCATTTCAACCTGCCATTAATATTTTTAAAAAAGTCAAAAGTGTCCATTTTACCCCAACCTCCCCTAGCAGACCAAAAAAAGTGCTCAACTCCAAAAGTAGGGGAGGGTGGGGTAAAATGGACACTTTAGACTTTTTTTTAATTACTCATAACTCAGAAACAAATTTATCAATGGGGCTCAGTTTAGGCTCATCACAAAGGGCGAGAATTGCTCTTTGAATTGAAAAAAAAAATTATTAAATTTCCTCACTATTTCAACCTGTCCCTAACATTTTTAAAAAAGTCAAAAGTGTCCATTTTACCCCGCCCTCCCCTAGCAGACCAAAAGGTCAGACCAAAAAAAGTACTCAACTCCAAAAGTGGGGAGGGTGGGGTAAAATGGACACTAGACTTTTTTTTAATTACTCCTAACTCAGAAACAAATTTATCAATGGGGCTCAGTTTAGGCTCATCACAAAGGGCGAGAATGGCTCTTTGAATTGAAAAAAAAATTATTGAATTTCCTCACCATTTCAACCTGTCATTAACATTTTTAAAAAAGTCAAAAGTGTTCATTTTACCCCAACCTCCCCTAGCAGACCAAAAAAAGTGCTCAACTCCAAAAGTAGGGGAGGGTGGGGTAAAATGGACACTCGACTTTTTTTAAATTACTCCTAACTCAGAAACAAATTTATCAATGGAGCTCAGTTTAGGCTCATCACAAAGGGCGAGAATTGCTCTTTGAATTGAAAAAAAAATTATTGAATTTCCTCACCATTTCAACCTGTCCCTAACATTTTTAAAAAAGTCAAAAGTGTTCATTTTACCCCAACCTCCCCTAGCAGACCAAAAGGTCAGACCAAAAAAAGTGCTCAACTCCAAAAGTGGGGAGGGTGGGGTAAAATGGACACTTTAGACTTTTTTTTAATTACTCATAACTCAGAAACAAATTTATCTATGGTACTCAGTTTAGGCTCATCACAAAGGGCGAGAATTGCTCTTTGAATTGAACAAAAAATTATTGAATTTCCTCACCATTTCAACCTGTCCCTAACATTTTTAAAAAAGTCAAAAGTGTTCATTTTACCCCAACCTCCCCTACAAGAAGGTGTCAGAAAATATTTTCTGATAGTTTTGTCATTTATTCCTCTCGTGTTGCTGTCCATTTATCTCCTGTTTTGGGCTTGACCGAATGATTGCCTTAAAATGTTCGTAATTACCAGGAAAATGAAACGGCGGCTGGTTCGTCGGTCCCCATGGGGAACCTGGACTGCACGAAGTGCAGCTGACAGTAGTATTTTTTCAGAACAGAGCACCCAGTGACAGCAATAGGTGGGCGAGCCGCCATTCCCCGGAGATGCTCCAGCTGGTGGATCTCATTGGAGTAGGACTCGGGGTCTTCATTGTAGAAATCTCGAATATACTGGAACAAGGGGACAGAGTGGGCATTTGTGAGCTGAAGTGCTAACTCCACACCGCAAAAAATGTCGAGTACGAGGTATCAAAGACGCTGTGCCGCCCGAATTCTCCGCTCTCCCAAATTAAATTAAGTGCATTCAATCGATAAAACATGCAAATCCCCGATTACCTGCTTCAATTTTCCGAAAGACGTGGCCTCAGGACTGACTTTGAGTTGAAACGACAGCATGGGCAGCCTCGGTACAGCCTCCATTGTCCCCTGTATTTTATTTTCCTTTATCTAAAAAAACAACTCGATCCTTCCCACGAATTAACTCCTCACTTAATCCTTTTTGTTCTCCAGAATTACATGGAAACAGCGCAGTGACAATTGTTATTGCAATTGCATCACTGACATATCTCCACTCAAACGACGCGAAACTCATGAACACTGGAATTACGATGGGATTAAACGATTCTCGGGGACTTGAGGGGTCATATTCAATGGGAAATTACTTCGACTGCAGTGCGAAATTTCTGAGATGTGATCCGAGCGTATAAATTACGGTGGAACTGCCGAAATTCATCATTCCGCTCCGTTACAATGGTGTGAACTCGTCGCTGGAACGACTCACAGGAATTTAATCAATTGAGCCAACATCGAGGAACGAAAAGTAAATTTCCCGAGTAACATCTAGGGACTTTCTCCGTCACTCGTTGACAGTTCCATCCGCCGCCAGCTTCACACATAACTCCGAAATACCAGAGGGAAGCAATTTGTCACGAAAAAAACGAGTGGAATTCCTCGACTCCAGTATTTTTCCCTCAATCTTCCAAACAAAATCGAACTGATAGGTCTCGATTTTCTGTGTCTGTACGAAGTTGTTGTCTACATCGAGAACACATTTCTGCATAACTAACCCCAAAACACCCCCACACCCCGTCGACACCCCCTGCAGTGCACAGGTGAGTGGAACTGAATTTTTCATGGAAAACTTGTCGAAAATTCGGATTATTTTTCCGTTACGTCGGGCGATCGCTGGTTTTTTTTCCAAATTCTGGAAAGCCAGGGAACTTTCGGCGAAATAGGACCCCTGTTCCACGATACGTGTGGCAAAATATCATAAAAATTTTATTTTGGCGGATTCTGTCGAAAAATTCCGGTTTTTTTCAATTGAAATGTTCAGTAGGAAATATTTGATAGGAGTATTTAATGAAGGGGAGGTTGGGGTAAAACGGACACTTTTGACTTTTTTTTAAATGTTGAGGGGTTGAAATGTTGATGAAATTTCATAATTTTTATTTCAATACAAAGAACAATTCTTTTCCTTTGTGAGGAGCCTAAGCTGAGCTCAATTGATAAATTTGGTTCTGAGTTATGAACAATTAAAAAAAAGTCTAGAGTCCATTTTACCCCACCCTCCCCTATGTAAATAATAATCGTAAAAATTCCCCTTTTTCCCCTAATTCTGTTTAGGTATTTTCCGGATAAATTCCTCGGCTCCAAATTTCCAAGATTTTTTGTCTCATTTTTTTATGAAGAGAGAAGAAAAATAGAGTGGAAAATAGTTGGGAAAATCACGCGGAGGAATTCCTGGGGAAAATATTTCGATAGAAAAAATTGTAGAGAAAGATGAAATTCTAATGATTCTTAGATAAAATAATTTCTATTGGCTATTTTCTGGAAAAAAATAGAAGTTCAGTAGAAATCGCGGCCCCGGTGAATTATCTCTCGAACGAGCTCTTGTTTGTTTTTTTTATTTTGATAATCTAAAATTATCTCTAATTGGTATTCAGTTTTACATAGCCCTGGAGTCTCCAAAAAATATGATTGTACAATCAAAAAAACTGGGAAATAAATCGAGTAGGCAGGAAATTGCAAATTAATAATTTGATGTATCTACTGACTGTCAGATCGTTAGTTACCACAATAAATTATCAGAAGATGTTCAGTTTTTTTCAACTTTTTTAAATTTTACAGTCATAATTTTTAGGAACTCCTGCGTCATGTAAATTCACGAACGAAAAAATTTAATAGAAAAACCTATCGAATTCGTTGGAAAATTCTACTGAATTTCTATTGAACTGTTCTATTGGTTTTTGGCCGATTCTATTGAAATGTTCAATAGGAAATATTCAGTAGAAAAAGTCAATAGAATTCAATTTTTCTATACAACTTATTCTATTGAGATATGTTCTATAGAATTTCCTCGGCCCAAATTTTCCAAGTTTTTTCGTTTGAATTTCTTGATGAGAAGAAAAGAACTAGAATGAAAAAAACTTAGGAAATTCGAGTCGAGCAAATTCCATAGAAAATATATAGAAAGAATAAGTTATATAGAAAAATCGAATTCAGTTGACTTTTTCTATTGAATTTTCCATTGAAAAACTAATAGAAAGTTTAATAGAAATTCAATAGAATTTTCCATCGAATTCGATAGATTTTTCTATTAAATTTTTTCGTGCGTGTTCCCATGGAAATTGTGACATAATCCATTATGAAGATTCAAAAACAATCGAGATAACGTTCGAAAAATAATCCCCCGCTTCGTTGATGAATCACAATTGTGCAAAATAATTAATTCCGAATTAATGACTGCTGTCAGTTCTGAAATGATGTCAGCGTGGGTAGCTGCACCGATACGAGGATGTAGCCCGAGTTAGCAACAGTTAACGAAGGAGATAAGCCTGGCCCGATAATTAATAATCAATGGAGATGAACGAGTCTGAGGAGAGGTTCAAGAGCCGCGACAGAGGGACGAGAAGGTCTCGGGGGCAGTGCAAGCTGAGTGACAATGACACAATGACCCTAGAGGAGACACTGCTCTCGTTCAACGGTCCCATCGGCCAGGAGCAGGCCTGGGCGGTCTGCCATCAGACGGCGAAATTCCTCTCGCAACTCCCCTCGAACCGCCTGCAGGAGCTCCAGAGCCTCAGCCAGATCCACCTCCACAAGGAGGGACACATCCTCCTGGAGCTCCCCGTTGGCTCCGAGGTGGAGAATTCCTCCGAGAAGAAGGTCATCCTCTCCCTGGGGGTCCTCATTTATCAGGCCTTGGACTTTGGACTCGACCAAAAAGAGGAGAGACTCCTCGCGCTCGATCTGAAGGACTTGATGAATCTCATGGGGAGCTGTCACGAGGATTACGAGAGCGATGAACGACTCCAGGAGACCGACGACGAGGGCATTGGCAGGGACTCCGAGGTCGAGCTGGACGAGGACAATGGGTCCTACGGGGTTAACAGGGATGATTACTGCAGTTTGAAGCACATTATTCAGGTGAGTTGGGGAGAGTTTATTGAGTTCAGAGCAGGGATAGCCATATTCATAAATCATAATTACTGGTAGATTTTTAAGCTAATTTTTTAAGTCAATTAGTTAACATCACTCTTGAACTTTTAATTATTCAGGTAATCATCAATTGAAATATTCACTTAATTCAAATTTACAGAACTATATTATCAAATTTTTTTTTTGTCAACTTCTGTTTATTCTTGGGAGTACTAATGAGAATAATAATATTTCACTCTACTGAATATAATATAAACATATTATATAATAATAATAATAATAATAATAATTTTCTTATTAATATAATAATATAATAATATTATTATATTATTATATTATTAATATTATATTTAATATCAACATCAAATGCCTCAATTTTGAATCGATTGAGCTTAAAATTGGTTGACACGAATAATCTGTACACAAATGTTTTATTTGATTCAAATGCACATGATGTTTTGATTTCAGATGTGCGCCAGACATATTCAAGGGACTGACGAACAAGCAGACACTCATTATCGTGCAGTAATCAGAGCATTTGTTCACGAAGCCCTCGAACTCTCCCAGTTCCTCGAGAAAGTCGGTGGCGAGCGGTTTCAGGCGAATCTCAGAAATCTGCCGAGCACTGAACGCTATGGGGTGTCCTCACAGCATCTGGATACTATGGACTTCGATGATTGGGTGAGGACGCCTTCGTGTTTGATAAATCGATGGGAAACTTTTGCAGAGAATTTACCCATCGACAAAATTCTTCAATTTTTACATTTTTATTTTCTAAAATTAATCAGTAATGAGTCAAAAATTGAGTTTATTGCAATTTCAGTTTTGTAAAAATCGATGTTTCAATTTATTATTCACATCAGATTTGGCAAGAGACTTTTTTTGTCGGTCCTCTCACCTACGGTAGTGAGAACTGACGCATTATTCTGGTAGCGATTGTTTACCGCCAACTTAAATATTGATTCTCGAGATGGTATTGGTATTGGGAAATTGTTTTGCTGTGAAGGTGACTGTGTACCCTTCGTGATTACTATTATTCGGAATCACAATGCTTCATTTGTCTATTTGATTGCTATTGTCCTTGGAGTACTAACAAAATATATTGTATCGTTCTCGCAGACCGACATTCGGATTTGGAGGGCTATTCAGGTACTTTATTAATAACTACATGATGAATTGCAACAGTAGATTTTCTTTAATTTGAAAAAAATGTTTTTTTACTTCTGCAGTCAAACATTTCGGTCGTTTTACAATGATTTTATTATTTAAACTTTGCAGGTCTCAATTATAATTTCGATATTGAACCGTTAGAAACATTTTGAAATTTTGAAAAAAATTAGAAAATTTACTTTTGGAGAAAGATTGACGAAATAATTAAAAAATTGCGATTTTTAACAATTACGAGCATTTTCTATAGATAATTTATAAACAATCAATTTTCCTGTGCAAAATTTTATTTAAATTACGCTGAATATTCATGATTTTTTCAAATTTTTCTCATGCAATTTTGTTGAAAAAATTGATGATTGAAAATGGTTGAATCTCATTCACAAAATCGTGCGATTTTTTAATTTCACCGCAGTCCCTCCTCAAACTATGGCACTTTACAAGGACAAATAACGATCTTATGCTGGAATTATAGGCACGATTCTGGGTCCAAGTGATCGGCGAACTTCGTCACGGTATAAAGCTCAAGAAAGTCGAGGAGAATCTCAAGAAACGTGGCAGGGTGAAAGACACAGGCGCAGAGTTCGAATTAACACCTTATGAAATTCTGATGGACGACATAAGAGAGAGGAGGTACAACCTGAGAAAAACATCTGGACCCGTTCGCAATGTGAGGAAAGACGCTCGTGCTGTCGTCCTGGAGTTCATCCGGAGTAGACCACCATTGAAGAAGGTAATATTTAATGAATAAAAAATGTCTATTGACATTTTCTTAAATTCATTCGTTCGTGAACTGAATTCAAAACACAAAAAAAAATTTCTCTTCATAATTTTTCTTACTTTATTGGACAAAAAATTAAAGAATAATTTATTTAATTGAGAAAATTTCAGACAACAACTTTATCAAGACTTTTTTCAATGGAATGGCTCAAGAGAAAAATCTAAAAATGCGAAAACAAAAATTGTCTTCTTGTTTTCCTGGAATTTCGTTCAATTATGCAATTATTTTACTATTGATTAGAGATTTTTCAACAAAAAAATGTCTATTAACATTTTCTTAAATTCATTCGTTCGTGAACTGAATTCAAAACACAACAACAAAATTTTCTCTTCATAATTTTTCTTACTTTATTGGACAAAAAATTAATGAATAATTTATTTAATTGAGACAATTTCAGACAAAAACTTTATCAAGACTTTTTTCAATGGAATGGCTCAAGAGAAAAATCTAAAAATGCGAAAACAAAAATTGTCTTCTTGTTTTGCGGGAATTTCGTTCAATTATGCAATTATTTTACTATTGATTAGAGAATTTTCAACAAAAAAATGTCTATTAACATTTTCTTAAATTCATTCGTTCGTGAACTGAATTCAAAACACAAAAACAAAATTTTCTCTTCATAATTTTTCTTACTTTATTGGACAAAAAATTAAAGAATAATTTATTTAATTGAGAAAATTTCGGACAAAAACTTTATCAAGACTTTTTTCAATGGAATGGCTCAAGAGAAAAATCTCAAAATGCGAAAACAAAAATTGTCTTCTTGTTTTGCTGGAATTTCCTTCAATTATGCAATTATTTTACTGTTGATTAGAGAATTTTCAACAAAAAAATGTCTCCGAGTATTTTCATTAATTTTTTTCATTCAATGATTAATAACTTTCATTAATAAGTAAATTATTGTTATATTATTCCAATTAAGAATTAATAATTAATAGATTTTTTCTTTTGAAATAAAAAAAAAAATTCATCACTTTCGTCTTTTAATCATCTATTTGATGTTTATTCAATTATTCTTGCTTCAGGCATCAGACAGGCAGCTCCCTCCTCGCAAAAAAGAATCGACAATTCGAGAATTGCTAATGGAGAGTATAAAAAAGCCCCCGAGACCACTGAGATCCTGCAGAGAGCGCCAACTGAAGGAGCAGAAACCGATCGGTGAGCTCAGCAAATTTTTTCCCCCTAACTCAATAAACATCTGATCACCTCAAATGTCTATTCCCTCGTGCTAAATTAAATACTGCGCGTGATCTCTACTCCTGCCCGAGCTTTGCCGACCGCAAAGCCCTTTGATCACTTCCAATACAGGAACAATTACTTTTCATTCTGCGGGAACAAAGCAATACGAATGGAATGGGAAAATTGAATTGATTGTCAGTCCTTTAATTGTCCAGATGAGCAATTTCATTTCGTTGAAACAAGGCGATTCTATTGAAATTGAAATTAGAAAATGAACATCTGATTGAATTTTGTTTCCGTGAAGTTATTTAGTTTCGGAAGTGTGATAAAAAAATTTCGAGTCATTTAGGTATTCCTGGGGGAGGTTTAGGACAAATTACAGAAAATATTTTAGAGAATTTTTTTGTTGCCAACAAATTCCTTTAAACAATTGGAAAATGACTATAATAAAAAATCAAGTGGGTTTTATCTCTCAAAAACCCAATTCATTTGAAATTAGAGAATGAATACCTGATGAAATTTTTATTCGACATAATATTTAAATTCCTAGGAGAGGAAGAGGTTTACGAAAAACATTTCCGAAAATATTACGACTAAAAATTTTTTTCCTTCAAAAAAAAACCCTGAACTCTTGATTTCTCTTTGGTTTTGCCTCTCGATTTTTCTTATCACGTGAAAAATGACAACAATAAAAACCCAAGTGGACCAATACAATTCTAAAGAGCCCCAATGCTTCCATTCGAAGTAAAAAATCCTTAAAAATGACCAGATAATCGATAAATCCACAGCTAAATTTATTTTCAAAAAATCGAAAGACAGTTTTTAAGCCTCGCAAACCCCCTTAAAAATAATCTCCCCCATCTTCCCCATATCACCCCTTGGACTCCCGCATTGAACAGGTGTTCCCTGGCTGCGCAGGCGTGACTTTGAATTCCTCGGTTAACCTGGCACACTACCAAACTCAATGCCACCCTCATCCATCCCCCATTCGATCAATAGTCGCGACTCTCGTGGAAGTAACGATAGTGGCGCTAAAAATAATGGCTGTGAGTGAAAATACATTCGTGAAAATAAAAAGGGCCCCGAAGATATCCCGGAGGAGCACCCCCTGAGCAATCAAACAATTAATTACAAATAGTGATGACGATTGATTCGTTCACAACCTCTCCAACGACCCCAAGGCCTCACTGAAGTATTCGAGATAACGAATGGTGATTGATATTGACACGAATCGGTTGTAAAATCCCCTTGTGCCATGACTCAGAGTCTTCCACACGAATAAATATAAAATTCATCGATTACGCGGTGAAGGGGGTGACAAGTGCAGGGCAATGCTGCTGGCTGTTGGGGGTGAGTCGAGGCGAATTGTCCTCGGCGAAGTGCCACCTGTTCAGGCAGCACAGGAGCAGGAGCAGGAGCCTGCTCAGGATGTGGCTGCTCAATGGCGTCAGTCTGAGTGTCAAGGGTCAATGCCAGTGCCTCAGCCACGTCCACGGACTGGCAAGAGCACCGAGGCCAAAACGAGGAATCGTAAGTCCCATAGGAGACGATTTAGGGGGACAGGTAAACGTCATTTCATCGTCTTTGGGAGTTTTTTTATTTTCATTTCATTCACGGGGGCTTCGGGGACCAGGACTTCCCCTGGGTCGCCATCAATATTAAATTGCATCAGTATTGGGGTTACCCTAACTGATAATTATCCAAAAACTGAACTTATGAATAACTTAACTGTTAATAACTGTTAATAGTTTGCGAGTTACATTAATAAAGGTTTTAATATTTTCGTCAAATAAAAATAGTAGGATGCTAGTAATTTAAATTTGCGATTGATGGTGAATTAAATATGTCATAATATGGGCTGGGTATTTTTTTATTAAGTAAATTACTGGATTTTTCAGTTAATTTATTCCGTGAAAATTCAGAAAAATTAGGAGAGTTCAAGAAAAAATTGAAAATTTATGTCAAACGAAATCATTGTAAAGTGTCCGGAAACTTAGGGTCAAATGTGGTTCAAATGAAAGTTCTGCCTACAAAAATGAAAAATCATTTCACTCTAAAAAAAAATCCGAGGACAACTCAAATCTCGTCGACTCCCGCAACTCTCCCCTCATGTTCCCCCTTTTTTTTTCTTTAAAGAATGTTTATTTAGACCAAAGTTGAACAATTACAGGTACATGTCACAGTGAACAACTTATTTCCGTGTAAACAATCAACCAAAGACGGAATTAATATTAAGCATTTAAGAGATATTATACGAACGCAGTTGCGTTGTTCGTAATAATCATATGGCGGTATTTGTGTTGAACACTATATTATTAAATATTCGTGAGGTTTAATGATTAGAGCCATAAGGCAAGTCGTTTTCTTACAATATTAACTTAACACCAGAAAAATTGGTCAGTAAAAGCTGGCGAAAGTCAGTAAAAACTGAATTTGTGTTCCCCCCACGATCCCCCGCCAATCACCGCCACCTCGACTGTTCCAGAGCCCCCGCAAAGCAACTCGACCACCGCCAGCACAAACCCGGACCCCTCAAAGCCCCCGAAGAAGCTGATTCCGGTGGACTTCGACCTGAAGCTCGACGGCGAAGAGGACTCGGACTCGGACGACGACCCGGACGACGTCTACGCAGTGACGCGTTTCGAGGACGACAAGGACCCCCACCGTGACGAGTGCAGCCACGAGGACGACGAGGAGAAGGGCTCAGCCAATCCCTGGAGGAAGACCGGAGGGCTCCGTCTCACGAGGAACGAGTACCACCGCTTCTGCGACGCACAGCTGGAGTCGTACGACCTGGCGACCCAGTGCCCCTCACGACGTGCCTCAGTCCGCAAGCACAGGGGCCCCAGGAACATCGCCCCCTCCTTCATCCCCCTGGGCACGTGTTCAGTGCCGCACTCTCGTCCCCAGAGCAGAATCAGTGGAGTCGGTGACAGCATGAAGATGAGCCTCTCACCGTCGCCCAACGTCTCCCCGAGCATGAGCCCCAGACCCAGGGAGAGAACCCTGCTGAAGGCCAATACGACTGTCGATCCCAACTACAATCCACCCCAGGAGAAGAAGCCGTCCCTGGGGGACATGCTGCTGGACGAGAGACTCTCGTTGACACTCGAGGAGATCGTGCACATCAGGAGTGTCCTGACCAAGGCGGAGCTCGAGTCACTGCCCGTGGAGGGACGGGTCAAGGAGGACGTCGAGAAGAGGAGGGTCTGCTTCCTCTGTCTCAAGACGAGGTTTGGACTGCTGGGACCCTGGGGCCAGAGGTATGTGGAATGTTCAATTGATGGGTTTTACTCATAGTTTCCGGACTTAGCGACTTGTCGCCAAAATATTTGGCAACACAGTTCAATTGAAAAATATTGAAATAAATCAGATTAGTGATTCACAAGGGTCATGAGGGTCAGAATAAGGGTCATGGGGATCAAATTAAGGGTCACTGGGGTCAGAATGCAATGGGCCATTGTATCCTCATGCATTAATAAATAACTAGAACAGGGCGCGCGCGTATTATTTTCCATGGGTGCCAGAATAGTAAAACCTTACCGTTTCTCACTTTCATTAATTTTTATCTCAATAATAATAATGCAGAAAAAATGAATGGCTTCAACAAAGTTTTTTAGAATGAGAATTTAATTGTTGGATAATTTATTCGGAATCGTTATAATCCTCTTCATCTTCTTCGTTTCTCTTTTACTTTTTACGTTCTTATTAATTTTTAGGGATGTATTATATTATGTACTGTATACATAAATAATATCCTATATATCTATTTTTTTTACAGAACTATAAATTTTTTTACAGTTGAAAAAATGAAAGTATAAATCATATATGTATAATATATCTGCTATATAATATATATTATATAATATATATTATATATAATATAATATAATATAATATATAGCAGATATATTATACATATATGATTTATACTTTCATTTTTTCAACTGTAAAAAAATGTATAGTTCTGTAAAAAAAATAGATATATAATAATATATAATATAATATGATAATATATAATATATAATATTATATATAAAACCATTATATATTATATTGTATTATATATCAGAACTGTATTTCATTTTTTCAATTATTAAATAAATTACAATACATGAAAAAATATACATAGACATAATATTACATTACTTGATAGGCGGAATAGAGGCTTCAGAAATCGTTACACTGGATTTTTTTAAAGTGTAACACAAATCTATAAATTCATAAAACAAAATTATGACAAATTTATTACAGATGTAGACTTTGCGAGAGGACAGTGTGCGTGAAATGCTACTCAAAAATGAGGATTCCAACGGAGCACTTTGCCCACGTGCCAGTGGTGCTGCTGTCCCCAGGGCTGTTGATGTCCCCAGGATCAGAGGACTCGAGCAGGGGATGGCCGAGGCCTGGAGGTGCTGTGGGCTCCGCTCCAGCGTCACCAGCCCATAGACGAAGGGACAATTTGAGCAATCACTCGGGGACACCACTGTCAACACCCAATCCTGCCACTCCTGCTGAGGGTCTCACTCCCAGGGACGAGGGCACCGAGAGGATCAAGTATCCCAGGGTCGGGGGGAGCCCCAGCAGAATGACCTCCAGTGCCACTGGCAGTCTTGGGGTCACTGGGAACGAGAGACTCGTCGCCGAGAGGATGAGGGGCGTCTCCATGGTCGTTTGTCATGACTGCAGAATCATGGTCATTCAGATCATCAAGAGCTCCAGGAGCACCAGGGCCACTATACGCAACAATGTTATCTCACGACTTACACTCAATTTATCACCTGCGTATGTTTAAGGGGGAGGGCGGGGGGAAGTGGTGAAATGGAGGATTTGTCACGAAATGTCGAATTCCGGGCATTACAGGTGGGAAATGGGTGAGGGAAAGTCAACCCTGTTCGAGGCAGTTTACTGAATTTCTAGTGGAAGTTATGAGTTTTGGGGGAATGGGGCACTTGCATGAAGCTGTTTTATCCGAATTTTATGGAAACTTTTTCATAATTTTGTAGTTGTCGAATAGCGAAAATTTTGGCGAAATATTGGCTAGATTTCTTATAGTGATTGATTGAAAATGGCACAGTTTTCGATGCCGGTTTTTCCGGAGTGTTAATGGCATTGGGCATTCCAGTCGTTGAAAATCTTGAACTTTTGGTAATTAATTATTCATTAACGAGATGCTTTTCAAATTTTTGTGCAAAATCTTTCTTTAGGCCGTCAACTTGAGGGCAAATGAATAAGAAAAAATTATGCAAGTTCTCTATTGTGTTTAAGAATTCTGGCGCAGTTTTGGGGGAATAGGGCACTTTAAGCTCAGTTTTTCCGAATTTTATTGAAATTTTTTCATAATTTTGTAGTTGTCGAATAGCGAAAATTTTGGCGAAATACTGTCTAGATTTCTTATAATGATTAATTGAAAATGGCACAGTTTTCGATGCCAATTTTTCGTTAGTGCTAATGGCATTGGGCATTCCAGAGTCGTTGAAAATCTTGAACTTTTGGTAATTAATTATTCGTTAATTATTCATTAAGGAGATAGCTTTCAAACTTTTGTGCATGCAAAACCAATCATGTAGGCCCTCAACATGAGGGTAAAAGAATAAGAAAAAAATTACGTAAGTTCTGTTACGTTTAAAAATTTTGTTCATTTTGTTATTGTCAATATTCTTTATAATTTTCTAGCAGTCAAGCAGCAAAAATTAGGGCGAAATATTGTCTAAATGTCTCATAATGGTCGATTAAAAAAGCCATACTTTTCAACTTTTGATAATTAATTATTCATTAACGAGATACTTTTCAAGCTTTTCTGCATGCAAAAGCAATCAGGGTAAAAGAATAAGAAAAAATCATGCAAGCTCCCTATTATGTTTAAAAGTTTTGATTGATATCTGAAAGAAAAAAACCCATAAACTTCAGAATGGAAAGTAATTCTTGAGCCATTTCACAACTTCCACCCCCAAAATTTAAAAAACGAAAATATGAAAAAAATAGTGAGGATAATTAATGTAGGTAGAGTAGGGAGAAAGTACAGGTAATTGTGACGTGATTACTATGGTGGTGGCAATATTGGTATTAATTAGGATCCATGGGGCCCAATTTGTAGATTTCTCGATTATCTTCTTGTCAACATTATCAACATTTGAAACTTTTCGTTATCGAGATCACTGTGTTCGGATGAAACTTGTGTGCTAAGTAAAATTATGAAATTGCAGAAGTCGGATTTCATGAATTAATTAAATTGAAATTGATGAGTCGAGTCATTACGTTTTAGTAATTAAACGCAGAGCATTTTTTTCTTTCCGATTAAATTCTCCTGTACAAAGGCAAATTTTTCTTCCAGTCGTATTCCTCTATCTCGTGCAACGACGTTTATTCGGAATGTAAAAAAATTCATTCATCAAGCGAGTTAAAAGGATTTTTTGGGGATAGTGTTGATGACACGAGTAATCAATGACGAAAAATGTTCTGTTAAAATTTAAAAAATTTGGGTTTATCAGTTGAAGCGATCAAAAGTAGGTAGTAATGATGGCCTAATGATTATTGAAGTAGTAATTTAAGTTCAGAGATAAATGACAAATGAGAATTTATGTAAATAGGATAAATCAATTGAGATTTTAATTGTAAAGGAAAGTTTGTCGGCCTTCAAACCGAGCAAGATATGTCTTCAGCGTACAGTATCGTAATTCGCGCAAAGGAAAGTGCTGATACGAGTGTGCAATCAATTATTATGATTAAAATGCTCCTGAGAGTCTTGAAAACGAATCAATGATTCAGTAGTCGAGGGGTGGAGACGTGTCATTGGGAATTATCATGTTATTTCAGGCGTGAGTGGGTTTTGGGGATAAATTTTGTTGTTTTTTGCTCATTAATTGCAGAGTTAATGATTAATTTTCCAAGTTAATAAAAAATCGTTTTTGTTTTTTTCGATTTATCTCGCGAACGAGTCGGTTTAGGCGACAAGTGTCTCAGACATTTTTTGTTGAAAATTGAATTCTCTACAGAAAATATCTTTTGACATTTTTCCGTAGAATCAATCGTTTTCGAGATAGTCGCAAATTTACCTAACGATAATGAATTTTCTAACCGAAAAAGAATAATTTCTATTTTATTTCTCTCTTCATCTTTCGAACGAGTTATTCTCCAAGAAAATGTCAAAAAAAAAAACCCAGTTTCGTAAACTGAAGAATAATCCTCTTTCTTACTAATGTTGATGAAGAATTTCAGTTAAATTCGCCACTTTTCTACTGAATCAAACGTGTGCAGTTGTACAAATGATAATGCATGAGATTTTGTGATGTATCCCGTTGATTCGGTGATGAAAAACGTCAATGAAGGGCTTAAAAGTTCCGACAAGTGTCAAAGGATCGTAATTTACCCCCAATGTGTGATTATTTTCGTCATCCCCTTGTGTTGATTAAAATTATGATGAATAAACGTGAAGATGTCTGGGTTTCTCCGGTGAGATGACAGCTGATGGATAAATGGGCAGGCCCCACCGTATTTAATCTATTTATGTATATCGCCGTTGACTGAATATAGAAAAATCGAGGGAGGGGAGACTGGGGCAAAACCGATTGTTCAAAGTTCTGAATGGAAAGAGCGAGATTTTTTTCAGACTTCTGAGGCACGAAGTGTCTGACATTCATCAAGAATTCCTCTCAGATTCTGAATTATTCAGCACTCGGGACAATCGATTTTGCCCCCCATTTTCCCCTGCATTTAGAGTAGGCGTATAGAAAATCGATTGAATATTATATACATAGTATGATACATTATGAGATGTATGACTATAGAAATATCATTTCGTTGATTCATGATTCATCATGTATTATATAAATATTATACATGTTAAAGACAACAAAAATGTCTCACCAGTTGGGCTCAACATTGAATTATCACGGATTGATGAACAGGGATGGCTAATTATTGATTTTTCTTTTGATTAGATTGATTGTGTGACTGAGTTTGGAAAAGCGAACGCGTTTATTTTGATTATTTTGGGTTTGAGGGGTGAAAAGTTGCGTCATTTGTGGGTAAATGGGTGATTATCTCGATAGCGAGTGGTTTTAGAAGAAAATGTCATGGGACTTTTTTGTAGAAGATTAAATTTCCTACGAAAAAGGTCCTGTGACATTTTCTTCTAGAATCAGTTCGTTGCGAGATAATTCACCAATTCATTATGATCCCTTCATTATTGTCTAGCTTTTTGTTTATTAAATTATCTCGATAACGAGTGGTTTTAGCAGAAAATGTTAAGAGACTTTTTTTGCGGAAAATTAACTTTCCTACGAAAAAGGTCTTGTGACATTTTCTTCTAGAATTACTCAATTTCGAGATAATGTAACAATTATTCATTTCAAAAAGTCTCGACTTGATTTTAGAAAGAAATTCCAAATCCATTTTCAGAATAACGTATTTTTGATTAAAATTCTTCACAAAATCACTTGATATTCGTCTAAAAAATCATTCCCCTCAAACCCCATTTCACCCCTCAAATTTCAAAATTAACACCAACCAACTGAATGATTTCATCAGGTCCTTCGTATCAGACGTTGAATGTTAGAATTTGTTAATTGAATTACGTTTTGCTACTTGAATTTGTGTGACTATTTATTTATGTAACTAATCGATCTCATCATTTCGGCATTTTGACTTATTATTCCCTCTGCAAGTCACTTCGAGTGTTTCACCTTAGAAGGAACTGTCTCGAAGTGAATTGCATCGATTATTTATGATGGCTTGGCAACTATTGGATAGAAGCATCGAATTGTAAAATAAATCAAATAAAAATGCATCAATATTTAATTTAAAAATCTATTTCCTTCTTCTCCGAGTTATTTCATCGAATTTCGTATCCTTGATTGAGGATTTAATAAATTTAAAGGTGAATTTTACTTTGAATGTTTATTCAATTGTTTAATCTGCTCGAATCTAATTGTTTATAATAATAAACAGTTTACAATTGTTTATACCCTATGGATATCATCGTGGGTATTGCTCCATTTGTGGGTGAAATTCAACCGATTATCGTTAATCTCTGCAGTATCATTTTGTTTAATAATACCTGAAATTTTTGGGGAACAGTATCGATAATTATTTACAACTGTTCAATTATTGCATTGTAACGAGGCGATATTGTGGCTGTCAATTGATATCTGAAGTGATGAGGTGAAGTGCAATTTTTTAAAAAATTTAATTCAATGTCCAGTGGTAAATTTTCTTCAATATTTTATCGTGATGTTTAATTATTCATCAAAGAGATCGAAAAATCGAGCTGTTCTGCTCTGTTCCGCTGCATTTCTCCTCATAACTACTGAAATAATCAATCACTATCATTAATGCTCTCATCTAAATTTATTTTCTGCCTATATAGTTGAGCTTCATCGCGCAGTAAGCGTGTACAATAGGATAAAGTTAATGAAATAAATTTCTCCAGTTGTTTTCTCTTCCTTCTATTTTAAATAGTAAAATATATGGCGCGAGTTCGACAAACACAGGTAGCGTAATTAGAAAAATATTTATACAATAGTATAAAAAAAAATATCTACACGTAAAACGAAGTGAGAAATTGGCTTTTCTCGTGATGTTGTTGATGAACAATTTTTCTATACGTTTAATATTACACATTGATAATTTAATGTACAATTAAATTAAAATTACAGATATATTAATGAAAAATGCATTCATTCGTGATGATGAGAAAATGACAATATTTCACGTAGAGAAAAATCGCTCTTGCATTTTATAAATAAAAACTATAATTAATTAAAGTTTAGGTAATTACGTTTTTCATTTGAATTTGAACTCTAATTCCTGTGGATGCTTTTTGTTTACATTTTGCTGGAAATTTTATTCTCGTAGTGAATTTATTTTTGTGCTCAAGTGGTGGAGGAATGCAAAAATTTGAATTAAAGAATGTCTCTTGACCTTCTAAGAACGATTCGTTATCAAGAATTGATCAGTGAATTTATCATTTTTTTATTATCTCGATAATGAGGAACTTTTTGCATTAAAAAAATTCTTTTCAGAAAATTTTCGCTTCTACAAAAAAATTCTTCTAACATTTTCCCTAAAATGGCTCTATTCCGAAAATAATTACGAAACGAGCAATTAAAAAAATTCAGATACTAATTAATCTGAATTATTAATCTCTGAATTATCTTAATCATAGGTAAAATCAGCAAAAAATTGCATAAATTCCGTTTTTCTTTTTCTCATTTTCCATTTCTCACCAATAAAGACAATCAAAAAATTAAAAAACTAATCATCAAGCCCCATCAGCCCTCGAATCCCCCATTAATGATCAATTTTGATAAAAAATGTCAGGACTTTTCCGAAATGAGCAATTAAAAAACCTTCAGATGCAAATTACCCTGCGTTATTAATTTCTGAATTATCTCAATCATAAGTAAAATCGCCAGAAAATTTCATAAATTCATTTCCTTTTCCTCCTGCCTCTTTCGCCATTTCTCATTAATAAAGACAATCCAAAAATTAAAAAGCCAATCATCAAGCCCCATTAGCCCTCGAACCCCCATTGCCGATCCCTTTAGCTAAAAAATGTCAAGATTGTCTTCCCGAAAACTCCCCCTCCCCTTGAGCACAGAAATACCCCTAATGAAGAACCAAATCATCAGCGAATGAGGCAAGTGGCGCAGATTCTCTGAGGTCCCATGCAGTCATCATGGCAGAAGGCCCCGCACTGTCGACAGATGACCATGGCGCCCCTCATGTGGCATTCGCAGGGTGGAGGAGGATCGCCGCCCATGATGACCCCAGGTGCAGCAGGCTCAGCCCCGCCGCCCCCTCGTCCATCAGCTCCCCCCCTGGCCTTGAGCGTGACAGCCTGATGCGAGCCCTCACCAGCACTAGCAGGCCTCCCTCGCACTAGATGAACCCCCACCCCAAGTCCTGCAATTTGAGGTGGTAAAGGAGGTGCTGAAGATGCCCTTGGGGCTCCGTCACTCACTCCAGTCCTCTGGACGAGGATGTACTGTCCAAAATTGGTGGATCCATTGCCAGCAACTGCCCCCAACTGAGCGACTGTCGTCGTGGGGGTGCCCTCGGTCATCTCCACGGGCTGCTGACGAGTTGTCGTGAAGACCTGGCGCAGCATCACCGTCTGGGTCTTGTTGGGGTTCTTGCTGTGGCTGATGGGCTGCTTCTGGGCCTTGACCGTTGTTATCGTTCTCCCTCCGGATTTATTCGTCGTGAATGCACCGTCACCACGCGCCAGCAGACTCGGAGGGGGCTTCAGGTGGGCCTTCAACTGATCTCGATTTGGGGAACTTTGAATTACCTGGAAAATTACAGCTGTTATTGACTGGTAAACGTAAAAAAAACAATTCTGTTTCATTTACAAGACAAATAAACAATTCCATGAACAATTTAATCGTAATTTAAATTCAAATTCACAACATGAAAAATTCAAGGAATTAAGTAATAAATAAAACAATAATTAATGAAACACGAGATAATAATAACTGATAAAAAATTCCGGGAACGATTCGATCGTAATTTAAATTTAAATCCACAACATTAAAAATTCAAGGAATTAATTAATAAATAAAACAATAATTAATGAAACACGAGATAATAATAACTGATAAAAAATTCCAGGAACGATTCGATCGTAATTTAAATTGAAATCCACAACATTAAAAATTCAAGAAATTAATTAATAAAAAATTGATAAAACCCGAAAAATCGTAACTAACGATAAAAAAATGATAAAAAATCAAATTTACTTGAATTCACAAAATTAAAAAATTCATTAAAAAAATTAATCAATTAATTCAACGAATTATTTAATAAAAAAATTAATAAAATACGAAACCATAACCGACAAAAAAATACTTGATAAAAAAAAGACATCTCATTTCCAGATGTAGACTTCAAAAGCAATTCCAAACCTCCAAAAACCTACCCCAAAAAATAAAAAACCTACCGCTTGACAGATCTGATAGCTCCTCTCGAGATTGACCGCGCCAGGCGGTTCCTTGGTGGAGCTCCTGCTCCTGCTGCCCTGCTCTTTCCCCCCATTCCTGGAGCCCCTGTACCCAACCTGCCCCCCAGACCTCGACCTCGGATTAACACTAGGACTAGTATACTGTGGCTGCATATTAGCAACGATCTGCCTCCCCTGTGTGACAGCAGGCACCGAGATGGCAGTCTGATGCTGCTGCACAACTATTGCACTCTGCGGATGTCCCTGAACAACAGGCACCTGAGGGCCACCGGGCCTGATGCCAGTGCCAATCCTCCCAATGCTGTTCTGCGCCCCCTGAATCCTGGAGTTGACACTCTGCTGAAACCTTGGGACAAACCTGATGGACTGTAGAGGTGGAAAAGCGATGATGGGCGAGCTCTGCTGAACATTCTTCAGAAGACACGATGTGACAGGAGCATTGAGGGTCATGGTCTCAGTGAATGGAGTGGCCTGTGCGACAGAAAGTGCCACACAATTCACCCCCTCATTGCTTGATGAGCTGCTGAGGCTCTCGTTGCTAAACTGCTGGACCTGCTGCACCTGCTGGACAACCTGAGGAGGATTGACACTGGTGGTGGAGTCAGTGGTGGTGGATGTGTCACTGCAGTCCTCCTGAGTGGTGACAGTGATGTTAGCAGCGACCGAGCCATCGAGTGCAGCAGCCACCAGTGGCCAAGGCACCTGAATGTCCTGTGCAGATGGCTCAATCCCCGAATTATTCCCCACAGGTGGATCAACACTCCAACTGCAGTCCAGCATCTCCGAGCAGACGTAGTTATTGGCATCCCTGAGCTCCTCGTCCTCATTGGACTCTGTCATCTCAGCCTCCCTGATCTCCTCGCCCTCGACAACTCCATTCTGGCCCTCAGCCTCGTCAGACCCACTCGATCCCATGTCCATGCCCTCGAGAATGGGATAGATTATCTCCTCGGTGCACCCTGAGATCTCCTCGTAGGCCTCCCTCATCTCCCCTCGCACCTCCAGCTCGTGGATCCTCTGAAGTGTCTCGGAGTCGATCTCCATTCCCTCGGGTATTGGCTCGGTGTCTGGAACGCTCTGGGGCAGCACTTGGGGCATCCCATTGTCCTCAATCTGGACATTTATCACGTGCTCCTCGATTATGAGGCCCTCGGGTGTCTTCACTGGCTCGCAGATGCTCTCGACAGCAGCTGCACTCTCGCACTCGGGAATTTCAAACATCTTGTCTTGCTTCGGGGAGGAAAACTCCTCGAAGGGCTCCTGGGGGTCCAGGGCTATCTCAGTGACATCGAGGTTCATCGCCAGAGTGTGACAGTCGTTGAGGATCGGGGGATCGCAGTCTGCGGGGATTTCAATCACTGATTCCTCAGGAATATCTGGCTTTGCTACTGTGGGCGATGGGATTATCGTCGAGACGAAGATCTCGGGCTCTTCTGGAGGGAACTCCACCCTCGAGGGCTCGGGCACTGCGCTGGGAATGGCCTCTGGGACCTCCTGGGGGGCTTCCCCTTCCAGAACCTTCGGGAGGTTCAGCTCCAGCTGGACTTCCTCGGACATTTCCTCGTGCAACTCCTCCTGAAGCTCTATCTCCATTGGCTCTTGCATCGCTGGACTGCCCTCACCTGCCTCAGGGTAACTCTGCTCCTGCTCCAGGTCTATCTCCTGGGGAGGTTCAGGCTCAGGCTCAGGTTGAGGCTCTGGTTCAGCTTCGACTTCTGGCTCTTGCTCCTCGATCGTTGGAGGTGTTAAGCTCTCAGGTATCACTGGGGGTGCCTCGGGCTCTGGTGACGCTCCCTCGAAGACGATGGGCACTGCCTCAGGCTCCTTGGCATCCTCGATTGTTGGAGCGATGTCAGCATCAACTTCAACATCAACTTCAGTCTCATTCTCCCTTTCGGTTTCAGTCTTGTCAGGGTTACTCTGTCTCGTGTATATTAGTTTTGGGGGTGGGGTGATGGGGGTTGTGATGGGCTCATGGGTGCTCTCCAGTCTCAATCTCAGGCTTGATCTTGTGACGGCGCCTCCATGAGGTGCGGCTCTCGTTTCGTTGATGCAGTGGATGCCTAGACGGACTTTTGGCTCTCTCTTGTCGCCCCAGATGGGCTCGAAGTGCTTCAGTTTCCAGGGGTCCAGTTTGTTCTTGTCCCTCTCAGCCTCCATTTTCAGTCGTTGCTGGTTCTCGGGGGTGAATTCACCCTCTGCCAGGCGTTTCCTCCACTCGAGGCAGGCTCGGGCGAAGAATTCGTTGTTCAGGCCGGAGGTCGCGGCGTCCTGACGGTCCACTGAGGGCAACAGCTGCGCCAGTTTGCGCTGGTACAGCGGCGGGAGACCCTGGAAGGTGTGCCTGTTCAGGAGGGCGCGCAGGCTCGTACTTGCCAGGATACTTGCCGGGGACTCCAGGTCCACCAGACCTGCCTCCAGTTGAGCTGCTGCTGACAACTTCTTCGTGGATCTTCGGCGGGAGGACTTTAGGCTGAAGCCTGGGAGACTCGCCAGCACTTCGCGCATCGTTGCTGCTGGCTCTTCAACTTTAAATTTTGGATTTAAGGGGTTAGTGGAGGACTGGAGAGATTCCAGGGGAATAAGCACTCTTGGGGGCCCATTGGGGTATTCTTTTTATGAATTAGGGGGCGAGGGGGGATAGCCATGGTCGTAAATTGTAATTACCGTTCAATTATTAAGTAGTCGATTGGTTAATATCATTCGTAAGTTTTAATTATTGAAGTAATCGTCGATTTAAATATTTTGAATTGTTTATTAATCAGTAATTTAGTTGGGAAGATTGACGATTATTTGGATAATCGGAAATCCCTGGGGAGAAATTTAGTATTATTTTTTTAATGGAAAATTTACAGATCCATATTGTTAAATATTTCATTCACCATCAATAAGTGAGAGTAACGGGGATATTTGAAATTAAATAATTTAAAACAGAGTCAAGTTGAATGAAAAGATGAATTTAGAAGAAATCTTATATAATTGACGTTACCTAATTAAAGAAAACGTTTGTAACGCCAAAGAGATGCATAAATAAAAAAAATAATAATTTATCGTCTAAATTGGAAACTTAGATTATCAATTATTTTACTATTTTTTAATTTCGATTAGTATATTTAAACGTTGATCAATGTAAATAGGAAATTCTTTTAATATTGAAGAATCTGAAGACGGATGGCCATCCCTGGGGGAAGATATGAATGAACTTGACTGGAAAAAATCGTTCGCTATTTTTAAAATACCTCACAAACTTCAGAAATTGTCTAAAAATCCCAAGAGACATTTTATGTAGGCCATTAAATTCTCTACAAAAGTACCTCCTTTCCCATCCCTCAGACATAACTGAAATCCGCTAAACAACATTGTCATCTCCACAGTGATTTTAAGGCATGTTGGAGCATGATGTGAACATGCATAATTTTTATTTCACACAAATGAGAATTGGATGAGTGTTATTTTCTTCTCCAGCATCATTAAAAGAAAACAACTTTAATTTAACTGTTATTTCAACAATTTATATGAAATAACGTGATTAATTCTATTTTCTTCTTCACCAACTTCTCTTGAAATCCGAAAGAATAACAAAACAAAATTCATTTAATTGTTACTTTTATCATTTATGTGAAAAAACGAGACAAATTAAATTTTTTCCTCCAACATCATCAGAAGAAAACTAATTCAATCGTTATTTTTCCAATTTATACGAACCAACAACAAGATAAATTTGATTTCCTTCGTCACCGACATTCATCCAATTCAAATAATTTTTTACCTAATTAAAAAAAACGTTTGTAACGCCAAAGAGATGCATAAGTCAAAAAAATAATAATTTATCATCTAAATTGGAAACTTGGATTATCAATTATTTTACTATTTTTTGATTTCGATTAATATATTTAAACGTTGCTCAATGTAAATAGGAAATTCACAACACAAATGCGAATTGGATGAGTGTTATTTTCTTCTCCAGCATCATTAAAAGAAAACAACACTAATTTAACTGTTATTTCAACAATTTATATGAAATAACGTGATTAATTCTATTTTCTTCTTCACCAACTTCTCTGGAAATACGAAAGAATAACAAAACAAAATTCATTTAATTGTTACTTTTATCATTTATGTGAAAAAACGAGACAAATTAAATTTTTTCCTCCAACATCATCGAAAGAAAACACTAATTCTATTGTTATTTTTTCAATTTATACGAAACAACAACAAGATAAATTTGATTTCCTTCTTCATCGACATTCATCCAATTCAAATAATTTTTTACCTAATTAAAGAAAACGTTGGTAACGCCAAAGCGATGCATAAGTCAAAAAAATAATAATTTATCATCTAAATTGGAAACTTAGATTATCAATTGTTTTACTATTTTTTGATTTCGATTAATATATTTAAACGTTGATCAATGTAAATAGGAAATTCACAACACAAATGCGAATTGGATGAGTGTTATTTTCTTCTCCAGCATCATTAAAAGAAAACAACTTTAATTTAACTGTTATTTCAACAATTTATATGAAATAACGTGATTAATTCTATTTTCTTCTTCACCAACTTCTCTTGAAATCCGAAAGAATAACAAAACAAAATTCATTTAATTGTTACTTTTATCATTTATGTGAAAAAACGAGACAAATTAAATTTTTTCCTCCAACATCATCAAAAGAAAACACTAATTCAATCGTTATTTTTCCAATTTATACGAACCAACAACAAGATAAATTTGATTTCCTTCTTCACCGACATTCATCCAATTCAAATAATTTTTTTCTCCCTCGCATCAAATAACAAAAAGCCAAATGTTGTTTTCTTCACCTGCCCCCATGAAAAGGAACGACCTCCCTCAATCCCAACCAACTCACCAGTATTATTATGCTGTATGGAAGCTGGTGGATCATCAACTGGCACCGGTGGTGTGATAACTGGTGGAGGTGCAGGTGGTGGTGCCAGTGGTTTAACAACAATTTGCGGCAGTGCCCTGGAATTGCCACTCGCAATTGTCGTATTTTTCCTCCGTCTCTTCGCCTGCTGTCTCAATGCATGCTTGATGACCTTCTTACTGTGCACCATACCCGAGTAGCTGGAGCAGCCGGGATTGATATCCCCAGCCCTGTCCTTGCCAGTCTCCACCTCAATGTCCATCATGACCAACTATCGCACATCAATCGTTTAACCTCACAACAAATAAGGCGGATGCTCAGATTCCCTTGGATTATCCCCAAGAAAATGCTCTTTTTGGGGCATTGCAGATGAATCCTCAAACTTATCAACAAATTATCATCACTTCCTCGGTTATTATCACTCGATGTCACTGTTTCTCCTCGAGACCATCTCGACAGTACCTCTCCCATAACAATGACTCCTCATAATTATCCGCAAACAGATAGAAATTCATAATTATCCAGAATCAATCGTTCCATCCTCTCTCAATAATCGACACAATTATTTCGTGATTTATTGGGCTTTTATCATTCCTAGATGGTGAAAAAAACATACACACATACATGCGTACACAGAAGTCAACTCCACATTGTTTCACAAGAGTGATTGTTCCTTGATTTTTTATTAATATCTCTCATTACTGATGTACGACAGTTCTTATTTTCCGTGAATATTGTTTATTCGCTTTGGTCCTGGTTGTTTTGATATTGTTTCACCCCTCGCTGGGGTTTTGGTTGACAGGACAGGGACTCAGCAACTGGCTGGGTCGCTTTGTTCGGCCATGTTTGCCTTGTGCGAAGCCGCGTTCTCTATTTGCGACGTTGAATCGCCTTTGTTTTGGGGGGTTATGTCGAGAGAATTTTGGGGAATTTTTTTAGGGGCGGGTTTTGGGAGGATTTAAGGAGGGGTGGGGGAGGGGNGGGGCGGGTTTTGGCAGGATTTAAGGAGGGGTGGGGGAGGGGGGAGAATTTTTGAAGTCATTGCTAGTCATCATTTTTTTGGGGGTTTGAGGGGGGGAGGGGGAGGGGGCGATTGGTTGGTCTGTCGTCAGTGGGGACCAATGGGGTGGGGGTTGCAGACTTGGGCGAGTTCTCATGAGGGGTAGTAGGTAGTAGGTTTGGGGGGGATTGTTGCTGTTGGGAAAATCATAATTTTTGGATTTCGAATTTTGCGGATTTTTTTTTTTTGGTTTGTGGGTTATTTCGAGAAATATTTATGGTGTTATTTATGCGGTAATTGCACCGTTGGGGTTTTTTATGGGGTGGATTAATTCTGTAAGCTTCTGAGGGCGCCTATTTGATGGATGGTGATATCTGTGAAGTTAGTAGGCTCGGTAAAAATAGAAAAAGGTGGAATTTGTAATTGATTTATTTATTTTTTGTAAATCTACTGCTAAACCTACTTTTTCTCCAAGCTCCTGATCAGATTGTCCTATTAATCTATCTACAGTAGGTTTATAAAAAAATATCCGGTAATAGGTATAGTCCTAGAATTTTTATTTCCAAACTCATTCTGATCTGCAACAAAATCACTGGATATCCCAAAACTGTGCCTACTTGTCCGCAAAAATCGCCAAAACTAGTAGGTTTAAAAAAAAATATGTCCGGTAATAGGTACAGCCCTAGAATTTTTATTTCCAAACTCATTCTGATCTGCATTAAAATCACTGGATCCCAAAACTGTGCCTACTTGTCCGCAAAAAATCTTCAAAACTAGTAGGTTTAAAAAAAAATGTCCGGTAATAGGTACAGCCCTAGAATTTGTATTTCCAAACTCATTCTGATCTGCATTAAAATCAGTGGATCCTAAAATTGTGCCTAATTGTCCGCAAAAATCGTCAAAACTAGTAGGTTTAAAAAAAAATATGTCCGGTAATAGGTACAGCCCTAGAATTTTTATTTCCAAACTCATTCTGATCTGCATTAAAATCACTGGATCCTAAAACTGCGTCTACTTGTCCGCAAAAATCGTTAAAACTAGTAGGTTTAAAAAAATATGTCCGGCAATAGGTACAGCCCTAGAATTTTTATTTCCAAACTCATTCTGATCTGCATTAAAATCAGTGGATCCCAAAACTGTGCCTAATTGTCCGCAAAAATCTTAAAAACTAGTAGGTTTAAAAAAAAATGTCCGGTAATAGGTACAGGCCTAGAATTTTTATTTCCAAACTCATTCTGATCTGCATTAAAATCACTGGATCCCAAAACTGCACCTACTAATCCGCAAAATCCTTCGCAACTGATAGACTCATAAAAAAAAATTAAAGAACCTTTTCAGTAACTCATAGAATTTATTCCAAAAAGGACCTATTTTCCCCTTGAACCTTCCCCCTCCACATTACAATTCCATAATTCTACTCCCTATTATCCCTCTCCAGCAATTGACCTTTAACTTTCTTAACAGCCTCAAAATCCTTGGAGATGACGTTGAGTTCAGCCCCAATATCACTGATCCTGGCAGAAAGATACAGCGACTCCTGGAAGCGTTTCTGAGCGGTTTTCAGACTCTGGGGGACGAGAACTCCGAACCACTTGAGAGGATCCTGAATCTCCTTAATCTCCTCTCTATCCTTGAGGTTAATCGAGAAACGAGGGATGGGGGAGGTGCTCGGCTCGGTCTCGTCGTCGCTGTGCTCCGGATAGGACGTCTCCAGGTTGAAGAGGGAGGTTATCGCCGTGTCCTGGGGCACCCTGAGCATCCCCACTGTCTCCTTCCCCTGGATGTACCTCGCCTTCGCCAGCTCCAGGTGCCCATCACGAAGATGATTCTCCAGCTGAATTGTCGTCACCACCTTCTCCTCCATGAGGTCCAGGGTCTGGAGCAGCAGGTTGTCCAGCTTCTCACAGACTTCGGTGATATCCTCCTTCATTTTTACTTAACTTTTCCCCCAGTGGAGATGATTTATTGATTTGTCCAGTCGATAACAATTATTTAGATTTTTTGTACGTTTTTTATTTGGCTTTTTGTGATGTGAGGATCAGTGAGGATCTCCTCGTGACTGATGTTTACATTTGTGTTTATGATTTACCACGACAATGGCCGCAAGTGCGCGCGCAGTCTTACAAAATTTAAATTGATAATGATAAGGCTGGAACGAGTGCACAGATTGGTTTTTAAATATCTCGGAAACTAGTAGGTTTAAGTAGTGAAACATCGTGTTTAGATCGTTAAATTATCTTAAAAAATAGCCTTCGGAGTTTCTCGATGAACCTACTAGCTTCGGAAATACTGGAAACGTAATATGCGAATTAGTTCTTCTCCTACTAGATGTTCAAATTAGTAGGTTCATGAAAAAGGGTTTTTGGCGTTTCTAAATTTATTAGTTTTAGAGATGTTACCGTACATTTTCTTCTAATAATTTACAATTTTATAGTTAATTTATACAACTCTCAGAGAAGTAGGCTCAGCAACTAACACCAATAAATCCTCAGCCTATTTCTTTAAACTCTAATAATTTGAATTTTGAACCTGCATTTTGCAAATATTTCTGCGACTAATAGGTTCACTAGTAGGAAATATCTTCAAAGAGCTAAGAAAAAAATATTCCAAGCCTATTATAGATATTGTTAACTATAATAGGCTTGACTAAACTCTAATAATTTGAATTTTGATCCTCCATTTTGCAAATATTTCTGCAACTAATAGATTCACTAATAGGAAATATCAACAATAGACTGGAAAAAAGATTCCAAGCCTATTATCGATATTTTCAAAACAATTTGCACATTTTATTATATGCACCTACTAATACCTAAAATTCCATGATGCGTTTTTCAAGTCCCTGAAACTAGCAGGTTCACCAGCAAATATCAATAGCCCCTTGGTCCATCAAATTTCCCTCGAAAAATCTCCTGCAATATCCTCCTATTATCGTGAAATTCCATTGTTAACTTTTAAAATATCTCTAAAACTAATAGTTCCACAAAAAAAATATTCCGCTAGTGTTAACTGTTAAAGATATTCTCAAAAAAGTCTGCACATTTTCTACATTCTCCTGCTATCTCAATATCATACCGCATTTTTTAAATACCTCTGAGACTAGTAGGCTCCCGAAAAAAATATCAAGAAGCGACTTCAGTTCACAAAATTCTCCATAAAAAAATCTCTTAAAAAAACTTCTGAGCCCATCACTCCCAGAGGCTCTCCCACCCCTACGAATCCCGCACCAGCTTAAGCCTATAAACCCCAATGTACTTCCCATTATTGCCCTGACTGATATGTGCATTGAGCCTCCTCGCAATCAGCTCATAGAACCCCAAGAACCTCTGAACCCTCCCCTCAACATTATCAAACAGCACCACAAACCTAGGCAGTAAACCCTCCTCCTCCCACCCCCTGTCACCCCCAAATGTCCGCTCGATCCAGCCCATCGGCTCCTCAAAGAACCCCTCAGCCTCGTCCACATAGCCCTCCTCACCCCCCAAATTCGGTTCGCACCCCAGGAACTTGGTGGTGACATTCCTGTGGAGATGACTGTACAGAGGGAGGGCATGACAGGGAGTCAGGAACATGACATCGACCCCTCGTCGCCCATGACTACCCTCGAGCCTCCCCAACTCCTGCCTCAACACCCTCATCACCTCGAGGGTTCCCCTCTGGTGCACAAAACTGAAATACGACAAGGGTATCAAATTCGTCAGCACGAAGACCCCGATGAAGATCCTTCTCAGGTTCTCGGAGGCTTTCAACACATCTGGGATCTTTGTGCACGTGCAGACGAAGATGATCATGGGGAGAATCGGGAGAATGAACCGGAGCTCCTTGTGCTCCAGGAGAGAATAAACTGAAATTGTCCAGAGGATGGTGAAGAGTAAAATAAATTCACTGGAACTTATCCGCGAATGCCTCAGGACTTGGTACGCAGCAATGGGGAGGTAAATAACGTAAACTCCAAGCAGAACTGGGAGTGCTGATGTGAAGTACCAGAGGGGGTGGTGGGTCCCGTAGAACCCTGCGATGTTGTTCAGAATATTAACTTTGAAGAACTCCCACTGAGTCAGGACCAGGTGGTTGTAGCAATAGGTGTCGATTGCTATGGAGTAGGTGAGGGTTGTCAAGCCGATGACGAAGTATGGGAGGAGTGCCTGGGGGAGCGTCTTCGAGGTGGTGAGGAGGTGGTACGCGCAGAGGGGCAGCCAGGTGATGGCCATGGTCGGCCTGATGGCGCAGGTGATGCCCACGATCCAGAGGAAGTGGGGGCTCTCTGGGGAGCTTGAGGCCCTCCAGGGGAAGGTGGAGAGGGCTATTGTCGTGAGGGCTGTCTCCACGGTGTTCGTCAGGGTGCGGCTCGCGCAGTAGTACCAGAACCAGTTGAGGGTCAGGACGAATGTTGACCAGGTGCTCCTCGTCCAGATGTAGAATCTGGAAGGGCACGAGAATTTTTTTAAGGCCCGGGTGTACTGTCTTTCGAACGTTATCTCGGTGTTTTTTTTTCATCTTTCGTCATCTGAAATTGTCAATTGAGTCCTGCGTCATGCAGAAGTTTTGAAAAATTGTGAATGAATAATGAAAAAAAATAGAAGAAATTCTTCATTTTTTCAAAGAGCATATCTAGGGGAGATTTAATAAGGGGCTGAAATGTTGATAAAATTTAATAATTCAATACAAAGAACAATTCTCTCTCTTTGTGACAAGCTTAAACTGAGCTCAATTGATCAATTTGTTTCTGAGTTATGAATAATTTTAAAAAAGTCTGAAGTGTCCGTTTTGCCCCACCCTCCCCTACAATTAATTCTATTGAGATCACTTCTATAGAATTTCCTCGGCTCAAATTTTCCAGGTATTTTCATTGACAATTGATTATTATTCAAGATTGTTCAAATTATATTAATTAAATAATTTAAGGTCCGGGTGTACTATCTTTCGAATGTTATTTGGATTTTTTTTATCTTTCGTAATCCAAAATTGCCAATTGAGTGGTACATCACGTAGAAATTCCCAAAAATTATGATGGAATGATTAAAAAAAATGGAAAAAATTCGTTATTTTTTCAAAGAGCATATCTAGGGGAGATTTAATAAGGGGCTGAAATGTTGATAAAAGTTAATAATTCAATACAAAGAACAATTCTCTCTCTTTGTGACAAGTTTAAACTGAGCTCAATTAATCAATTTGTTTCTGAGTTATGAATAATTTTAAAAAAGTCTGAAGTGTCCGTTTTACCCCACCCTCCCCTACAATTAATTTTATTAAGATCACTTCTATAGAATTTCCTCGGCTCAAATTATATTAATTAAATAATTTAAGGCCCGGGTGTACTATCTTTCGAATGTTATTTGGATTTTTTTGATCTTTCGTAATCCAAAATTGCCAATTGAGTGGCACATCACGTAGAAATTCCCAAAAATTATGATGGAATGATAAAAAAAATAGAAAAAATTCTGAATTTTTTCAAAGAGCGTTTTTATTTCAGATGACCAAAGATGAAAAAAAAACTTCGAGATAACGTTCGAAAGATACTACACCCGCTTAAATAATTTAAATAAATTATTTCACCTGTAATCAGCATATGCACTGAGCACCGCTTGGCAGACCCTCGGGGCATTGATCAGGGCCCCTGGGAAATCCAGCCCCAGGAGTTCCAGAATTTTGTAGAGAATGGAAATTAGGAAGGGGTAGATGTAGCTCCTGATGCTGTGCCTCCACTCCCACGTGAGGTGGCCGTACCCAAAGGCGAGGTTGTGAGCGACCTCCAGGGACTGCCAGTACTCGTCAGGGACATCACTGGTCTGGACAATGTACACCGACAACACTCGCCAGACCACGAGGTACCCAAACGCTCGTTTATTCATCCTCTCCTTCGGTGATGTTTAAACAAACCCCGACTCCCTGGAGATTATTTTTGTTTACCTCTGGGGCACGAGGAGCTGCTGCACTCTGGGGGGCACCTGTCACACCTCAAAAGTCATGTTTTCGTGTTTATCTTTTCCTTTTGCCTGATTTGTCGGTAAGTCGAGGTTATTTTGGCATCTGAATGTCTCTGATAGGCTGTAAACAATCGTTTCACAACTACGTGGCATGGGTGACGGTGTAATCAACAATTAGTAGTGATTTGTGAAGTGATAGGGCTCATTCTGGAGGATATACTGAGGTGAGGAGGTTCAGTCATTTATTTTTTCTGGAGATGGGATTGTTGACGGAGTTTTTTGATCAATTTACTGATTGAGAGGTGCGAGGGACAGGAGTTGCTGGAGGAAGTGGATTTCTGTTGCAGGAGAGTGCCTGAGGGGATGATTGTTTAGTGGATTGTTGGGGTGATTGGCGACAACAAATGCCGGAGAAGAGGAAGAAGATGGGAACTCTGCGGGCGCTCATTCTTGTTGGGGGGTATGGGACCAGGCTACGCCCTTTGACGCTCAGCAGGCCAAAGCCACTTGTGGAATTCGCGAATAAACCCATGTTGCTGCATCAGTTTGAAGCTTTGGTGAGATTTTCGTGGAGTTGGCTTTACTGTTTGGATTGTTTTGGGGATATCTACGGAAGTAGTGGGTTTAGAGGAAAATGTCAGAATATATTTTTTGTGGAGAATTTAATTTTCTAGAAAAAAGATCTTTTGGGATTTTTTGATTAATTTGGGGGTTCTGAGATATTCACGAAGTTGGTTGGATACTTGTTTTAGAGTTCATGGGCGTGTCTACACACTATTTTGGAGAAATCTCTGAAAGTAGTAGGTTTAGGAGAAAATGTTAACAGATATTTTTTGTGAAGAATTTAATTTTCCAGAAAAAATATTTTTTGGGATTTTTTGATTAATCTGAGAGGTTCTGGGATATTTATGAAGTTGTTTGAATAATCATTTGGGGGTTGATGGGTTTGTAGAAACACTATTTTGTAGCTATCTCTAAAAGTAGTAGGTTTAGGAGAAAATGTTAATAAATATTTTTTGTGGAGAATTTAATTTTCCAGAAAAAAGATCTTTTGGGATTTTTTGATTAATCTGAGAGGTTCTGGGATATTTATGAAGTTGTTTGAATAATCATTTGGGAGTTCATGGGCGTGTCTACACACTATTTTGGAGAAATCGCTGAAAGTAGTAGGTTTAGGAGAAAATGTTAACAGATATTTTTTGTGAAGAATTTAATTTTCCAGAAAAAATATTTTTTGGGATTTTTTGATTAATCTGAGAGGTTCTGGGATATTTATGAAGTTGTTTGAATAATCATTTGGGAGTTCATGGGCGTGTCTACACACTATTTTGGAGAAATCGCTGAAAGTAGTAGGTTTAGGAGAAAATGTTAACAGATATTTTTTGTGAAGAATTTAATTTTCCAGAAAAAATATTTTTTGGGATTTTTTGATTAATCTGAGAGGTTCTGGGATATTTATGAAGTTGTTTGAATAATCATTTGGGAGTTGATGGGTTTGTAGAAACACTATTTTGTAGATATCCCTAAAAGTAGTAGGTTTAGGAGAAAATGTCAATAGATATTTTTTGTGGAGAATTTAATTTTCCAGAAAAAAGATCTTTTGGGATTTTTTGATTAATCTGAGAGGTTCTGGGATATTTATGAAGTTGTTTGAATAATCATTTGGGAGTTCATGGGCGTGTCTACACACTATTTTGGAGAAATCGCTGAAAGTAGTAGGTTTAGGAGAAAATGTTAACAGATATTTTTTGTGAAGAATTTAATTTTCCAGAAAAAATATTTTTTGGGATTTTTTGATTAATCTGAGAGGTTCTGGGATATTTATGAAGTTGTTTGAATAATCATTTGGGGGTTGATGGGTTTGTAGAAACACTATTTTGTAGCTATCTCTAAAAGTAGTAGGTTTAGGAGAAAATGTTAATAAATATTTTTTGTGGAGAATTTAATTTTCCAGAAAAAAGATCTTTTGGGATTTTTTGATTAATCTGAGAGGTTCTGGGATATTTATGAAGTTGTTTGAATAATCATTTGGGGGTTGATGGGTTTGTAGAAACACTATTTTGTAGCTATCTCTAAAAGTAGTAGGTTTAGGAGAAAATGTTAATAAATATTTTTTGTGGAGAATTTAATTTTCCAGAAAAAAGATCTTTTGGGATTTTTTGATTAATCTGAGAGGTTCTGGGATATTTATGAAGTTGTTTGAATAATCATTTGGGGGTTGATGGGTTTGTAGAAACACTATTTTGTAGCTATCTCTAAAAGTAGTAGGTTTAGGAGAAAATGTTAATAAATATTTTTTGTGGAGAATTTAATTTTCCAGAAAAAAGATCTTTTGGGATTTTTTGATTAATCTGAGAGGTTCTGGGATATTTATGAAGTTGTTTGAATAATCATTTGGGAGTTGATGGGTTTGTAGAAACACTATTTTGTAGATATCTCTAAAAGTAGTAGGTTTAGGAGAAAATGTTAATAAATATTTTTTGTGGAGAATTTAATTTTACAGAAAAAAGATCTTTTGAGTTTTTCGATTAATTTGGCAGGTTTTGAGATGTTTACCAAATAATTTGGGCATGTTTGTCGTACATATCTCGGAAAGTATTAGGTTTAGAAGAAAATGTCAAAAAATTTTGTTTATGGAGAATTCCCCTTTCTACAAAAATATCTTCTCACTTTTTTCAATTCATCCAAGAGTTTCTGAAGTGTCACAATTTATCAGAATTCAATATGTAAGTTATATATTGAAAATGTGGAGATCAAAATTTCTAGAAAAAATCTTAATGCAAAATATCACATATTTTAGACAATGGAGAGACTTGAGGAGACAATGAATAAGTCATTTAGTCAAGAAAATTCTGCATGAAATGCCGTAATTTCCATTCTTCGTCTGCAGGTAGCATCGAACGTAACCGAGATTATCCTAGCGGTCTCCTACCGCGCCGAGGAGATGGAGAAAGAGCTGTCAGCTGAGGCTGAAAAACTGGGAGTCAATCTCATATTCTCCCACGAGAAAGAGCCCCTCGGCACTGCTGGTCCACTAGCTCTCGCAAAAGACATATTGTCCAAGAGCGATGAGCCCTTCTTCGTCCTCAACTCAGACATCATCTGTGATTTTCCATTCAAACAGCTGTTCCAATTTCATAAATCACATGGAGGCGAGGGAACAATTGTCGTGACCAAAGTGGAAGAGCCGTCCAAGTATGGAGTTGTTCTTTACAATAAAGAGGGAAGAATTGAGAGCTTCATCGAGAAGCCACAGGAATTTGTTTCTAATAAAATTAATGCAGGTGATTAATTCAATGACTTCAGAAAATTAATACTCTTCATTAATTTATTCATCAGATTTTTTTTTCGATTTTATTCAAGTTAACTAGTCAATTAATTTTTCTTTTAATTTTTGTTGAACACTTTAGGAAGTAAAAAACAGTAAAATTATTATGGATACATTTTATCTCCTCTACAAGAAAATATCAATAAACATTTCGCATTATGCAAGTGTTATTACAATATTTTCGCTTTTTTGCAGGAATTTATATATTTAATCCTAGTATACTAAGCAGAATTGAGCTGAAACCAACGAGTATTGAGAAAGAGGTATTCCCAGGGATGGCCAGTGACAATGTCCTGTACGCAATGGAGCTCCAGGGCTTCTGGATGGACGTGGGACAGCCCAAGGACTTCCTCAAAGGTAAAAGAATAGAGAAAAATTATCTATAAAATCATTTATTCACAAAAAAATCCTTAACAACCAGAATAATTCTCTAAATATGGTTATAAAAAATATTTTTGGTTGACAAATACACAATAATCACGTTTTTACGATCTATCGTCGCAGGTATGTGCCTGTACTTGGCCTCGCTGAGGCAGAAACAGCCCGAGAAGTTGTACTCTGGTGATGGGGTCGTTGGCAATGTCCTCGTGGACCCAACAGCAGTGATTGGAAAAAATTGTAGGATTGGCCCTAATGTTACTATTGGTCCTGGGGTGGTTTTGGCTGATGGGTGCTGCATTAAACGCTCCACTATTCTCAAGTCTGCGACGATTAGGGAACACAGCTGGCTTGATGGGTAAATATCACCTGAGGCTCTTGACTTCATGAAGAGACGGATTTTTTATATTTAAAATAAACTAAAGCCTGAAGTTTTATGTGAGACTGAATATTTCGTGAATATCTTGGAAAACACCATTGATGAAATAATTCTAGGCACTTTTTTTCTGTTGAGAATGACAATTCTCGAGTTTTTTCTAAAAAATTCTATTCAATTTTAATTGGAATTGCAGAAGCATTCAAGAAAAATCCAATTTGTACGTTTTATAACCCATTCTTTTGAAATTATTTTCATAAAAATCCTTGAACCAAAGTTTTTTCTTGCCTTTTATTATGAGAAACAAATCAAAATCCAGCAAAAAAAACTTTGAGAATTTATGCCCAAGAATTTTTATACAAAATAAAAAATTTATATACTTTTGTCTATCAAATACCTCTCACCAAAATGGCAGGATAAAATCGCCTAATCTTCAATAGAATTTTTTTCATATTATTTTTTTTCAAAAGTGTAACCCTTTTGGTAAATTAATTATCAGAAATGAATCGTGTTCCATTTGAATTTCAGATGCATCGTGGGGTGGAGATGTGTGGTGGGTCGCTGGGTGCGTATGGAAGGCATAACAGTTCTCGGGGAAGACGTTATCGTCAAGGACGAGCTGTACATCAACGGTGGACAAGTCTTGCCTCACAAGAGCATCGCCAGTTCAGTCCCTGAGCCCCAGGTCATCATGTGACTCTACTCATTCCTGAAAAAGGCATTGAACTTTTTTTTGACTGAAGAAAATCCATTCTGATGACAATACCCCAAAATAAAACATTTATAATATAATAATATATATGTATGCTATATTATTATATTATAAATTTTACAATATATATTTTTCATATTATTTTTCTGGAAAATATTCCGTGACGAGTCCAGGTGCAACTGCAATCGGTTTTTATAAAATGTTTTCACGAGAATAATTTATAAAAATGTACACGAACTTTGTAAAATAATATTTTTACCTGTAAGTGAGAGAAATAAAGTTTTTCTCACCATTTGACCTTGACTGGCAGTCCTCTGACGACGATTGCAGCTTTCGTCATGAACTGGAGGCAGACTTTCTTGGAAATTGCCACAGCTCTGAGCATCTCGGGCTCGAAGAATGGGCTGGTGGTGTCGTTGAACTGCTCCTTCTTGCCGCGTTCGAGATTGGATTTGAATTCGAGAGTTCCATTGCTCCATTTCTCGAAGTCGATGTAGTTCCAGGACTTCTCAGCCTTTGAGGGGATCCAGGTGCTGATGAAGCAGGAGGTCATTCTGTCGGTGTCGAGATCTGTTACTTCCCAGTTCATTCCTAGGGTGCAGGGGCTGGAGATAGAATGGAATTTAGTAGATTGAGTTGGTGGAATGACTGGAGTTTTCATTTCATTTTTATTTCATTCACATGACCAATTGCAGAATCAAATTAAATAAACATAAAGAATAATAACGAAATTAATGAAATGAACAGTTTAAAATAATATTGACGGACAGCGTTTTCATTTCATTCATTTTCATTTCATGTTGACACTAAATAAGAAAATAATAAAAACACTCACCTGCAGGCTGTGAGATACTGATTAGACACTCCATAAGGTGGGAATCTCCCCCCAATGGGCACAAGTTTGACACTGCCACAGCCAAAAAGTAGAACAGCAGCTCTGACCCTGAGCTTTTCAATCTTCTCCCCAGGCAGATACTGAATGCCACTGCCATGTCCATTGTACATCATGATCTCGTGGTTGACGAGAGCATCAACGAAGGCATTGGCGAGCCCCTCCTCCTCCGGAAGAGCGTTATAAATGGTACGCCACTTCGGCAGCCAGTAATCCATGAAAATTCTCAACCTCTTCTCCATCTTCGGCAGATTGTTCGAGGGGTTGACAATCCCCATGCCACTCTCCTCGTTGATAACCATGACCTTGCAGCCCTCGACAATCGACTCCTCGTGCTCCTTGAACATCGCGTAGGCCACGTGCAACGAGGGGAAGCGAGTGACCGGATGATCCTGGAGGATCTCCATTGCTTCCAGGGGGAGGTAATCAATTTCCTCGTCCACTATCAACACTGTCGTCTTCCTCTTCTCCTGACGGAGCTTCGTCGCCGTCTTGGATTTACTGACAATCGACAGGATCAAGTTACTGGCGAGCTTCTTGTTGTCAGGAAGAATCACTGTTATCAATCTTGCTATTTCGGTTTTGCTGAGGTATCCGGCTGTTGTTGACACTTTTCGCAGGAGCCATACGGTCTTGGGTGATAGTGGGGTCCTAGGGAAAGGGAAATCATTGGAGTGGCTACGAAAGTCGACAGTGGAATCGTCTTTTTTTGAGGATATCCAAGTATTTTCTACAAGTCACTGACAAATTTTACATCTTGCACGGTAATTATTATTTTTTTAAAGATTCGTTGGCTATAAATGAATAATTGAAATTGCTTAAACTTGTTTAAACTCAGAAATTTTATTTTTTCAGGCATGAAATCGATTTCTGGTTAAATTCTGAATATGACTAAATTTTTTATAATTCCGAACAAATGAATTTTATGGTGGAAAAATCATTGTCTATAAATTATTTATAGAAAATACTCGGAATTTTCAAAAATTGTAATTCTTAAATTATTGGTTTTAATTGCTTGTTTTTTAATTATTGATATCTTTAAATCATTATCATATGTCATTAGGGAATTTAGTAAAAAATGACAAAATTAGTAGTCCATTCCTTCTAAAAAAGCCTTTTAAATTCATAAAACGAGGCATTATCTTCGAATACTTCTAAAGCTAATTAAATTCTCCATTTTTTATCACGGTTTTCTCCACCTCATCAATGAAAAAAAAACATAATAGCTTTCCAAAAAGAAAAGAGTATTTAAAAAAATTAAAAATCAGAGTCAATGAATAAAAATTTTTTTCTAATGAATGAATGAATTCAACTGCTAAAAAATTTTGAAATAAAAAATGCCTCACAACGACCGATCATCAGCGATAAGTTTATCAACAATTCCAATCATCTCCCTGGTGTCGTCTGAATTTTCCAACAAGTCAGCAATGAGCAAGAGCCTCCACTCCCTGAGCCAGTTGTACTCCATCTCCTTGACAGCAGTCATCATCCTGTTGTTCTGCTTCTGCCTCATCTTCCAGTACATGGAGTGATGGCCATACTCCGCCTGGAGGTTCGACTTATTGGTATCGAGGAGATTCTTGACATCCGCGCAGAGATCGTACATGCTGTTATCAGGAGCAGGAACGGTGATGGTGAAGGGTGCTATTGCCTCAGGGCCAGTGGGTAGAACAGTCAGATGAAGAGGATGAACTGAATTGGAGGCCTCGGGGAGCCACTTGCAGGGCTTGTAGGGCTGGGTCAGCTGGACCATGTACCACTCTCGAGGCAGCTCAGCCAATTTACTCTCCAGGGATTGTGAGTCCTCCTGACAGTCGATATTGAACTTCAAGTGGGATGGATTCACTCCGAACTTATAGGTATATCCGCAGTTGTCACGGATTTCCGTCTTTTTGTATCTCAAGTTCACCTGCTGACGGTGGAGAACTGCGTGGGACTCTATCAAGTGGTTGACTGCTTTTTTCTCGTCGCCAGCCTTGAAGTGATTGATTAAAGTATTGGGTAATTTAATAATGATAGCTTTCAATTTTTAAAAAACCCAGATAATTTACTGCGAACCTACTACCTCTCGAGATATTCTCAAAACAGTCAATCTAATAGGTTTCGAAGAAATATACCTATTAATCTTGTAACGGTACAAAAATCTCATTCATTCTTTATTTTGTAGATAAATTTGAAACTAGTTGGTTCGTTTTTTAATTAATAGGTTCATGAAAAATACTAGGTTTACGAAAACCCATAGGTTCATAATAAATAAGAGGCTCATAAATGTGAGGGAATATTCAAGAGAAAAATGATTCAGACAATTTACGATAAACCTACTACCTCCTGAGATATTCTCAGAGCAATCAATCAAATAGGCTCTGAAGGAATATACCTATTAACCTCGTAATGCTACAAAAATCTCATTCGTTGTTCATTTTCTAATTTGAAACTAGTAGGTTCCTTGTTTTAATTAATAGGTTCATGAAAAATAGTAGGTTTACGAAAACCAATAGGTTCACAATAAATAAGAGGCTCATAAATGTGAGGGAATATTCAAGAGAAAAATGACTCAGACAATTTACGATAAACCTACTACCTCCTGAGATATTCTCAAAGCAATCAATCAAATAGGCTCTGAAGGAATATACCTATTAATCTCGTAATGCTACAAAAATCTCATTCATTGTTCATTTTCTAGACAAATTTGAAACTAGTAGGTTCGTTTTTTAATTAATAGGTTCATGAAAAATAGTAGGTTTACGAAAACCAATAGGTTCACAATAAATAAGAGGCTCATAAATGTGAGGGAATATCCAAGAGAAAAATGACTCAGACAATTTACGATAAACCTACTACCTCCTGAGATATTCTCAAAGCAATCAATCAAATAGGCTCTGAAAGAATATACCTATTAATCTCGTAATGCTACAAAAATCTCATTCATTCTTAATTTTTTAGATAAATTTGAAACTAGTAGGTTCGTTTGTTAATTAATAGGTTCATAAAAAATAGTAGATTTAAGAAAACCAATAGGTTCACAAGAAATAAGAGGCTCATAAATGTGAGGGAATATTCAAGAGAAAAATGATTCAGACAATTTACGATAAATCTACTACCTCCTGAGATATTCTCAGAGCAATCAATCAAATAGGCTCTGAAGGAATATACCTATTAACCTCGTAATGCTACAAAAATCTCATTCGTTGTTCATTTTCTAATTTGAAACTAGTAGGTTCCTTGTTTTAATTAATAGGTTCATGAAAAATAGTAGGTTTACGAAAACCAATAGGTTCACAATAAATAAGAGGCTCATAAATGTGAGGGAATATTCAAGAGAAAAATGACTCAGACAATTTACGATAAACCTACTACTCTAAACCTACTACTCTTGAGATATTATCAGAGCAGTCAATCAAGTAGGCTCTGAAAGAATATACCTATTAATCTCGTAATGCTACAAAAATCTCATTCATTGTTCATTTTCTAGACAAATTTGAAACTAGTAGGTTCCTTGTTTTAATTAATAGGTTCATGAAAAATAGTAGGTTTACGAAAACAAATAGGTTCACAATAAATAAGAAGCTCATAAATGTGAGGGAATATTCAAGAGAAAAATGACGCAGACAATTTACGATAAACCTAGTACCTCCTGAGATATTCTCAAAGCAATCAATTAAATAGGCTTTGAAGTAATATACCTATTAATCTCGCAATGTGTTCCAAGAACTTCATTCATTCTTCATTTTGTAGACTACTTTGGAATTAGTAGGTTCTTTTTTAATCAATAGGTTCGTGAAGTCTTAAGTTTATGTAAAATAATAGGTTCTCAAAAAATAATAGGTTCATAAAAAAATAATAGTCAACATTTAAATAAAAATAACGAATTGTCTTGTTCTCGACTGATTTACGACTGGAGCAAATTAATTGTTTAAAACAGTATAACAATGGCATAAATCGTGGGAAATAATTACCGCAATAGCGGCGAAGCCCATCATCTTGTTGAAGGCCCCATACTCGACAACAGACGAGTGCAGTCCAGTTTTTGTGAAGATTTTCTTGATTCTCTCGCAGAGATCACCTGGCTTCTCGTTCTTCGGGAAATACTTTCTCTCATATTTATCAAAATTTCTGCCGTACATCTTTCAACTGTTCCCGAAACAATCGCCCCCGTTGATGATTAACCAGAGATTGTTTCGCACTGATCAATAATAACTGCGAACAACGATTATTTAAACATTTCGGGTCGTGGTTGTTTACGATTTTCAAATGGAACTACTGTTATAAAGTAATTTTTTTTCTATAATAAGGCATAAATGGGAGAGAATAGTCTAGAGGCCCAACAGTTTGAGAATATGAGAACGAATTATTCATCTTGAGAGACCGTCAACAGATGGCGATGGTAAATCCGGGCGATAACATCTTGTTATTGTTAAGATCCGATCAATTAGCCCCTCATGTATAGATATTCCAAATTTTTATTTTTTTCCTCATTGAAGTAATTTTGAAGGAAATTGCGAGCTAATAAAAAACATTTGCTAGTTAGTACTTTTTTTAAAATAAATTTTTGAAAAATCACCCCTGAAAAAAAAGGCGTTATCCCCTCTATTTCATTATTTCCAAAAAATTTAATCACCAATCGGTGGCAAATTGTTTGAAGATTTTGCGAGTTAAGAAAAAATCGTCAATGCACTCCTATTATTGTGTAAATTAACAATTCCAATTTCAACTGAAAACCAGAGTTGATGACCAGAATTTGTAGCAGAGATATCAAGTCTTTAGAGATGACAAATCTCTCTAAAGATGATGTCTGGTTTCAATTGAAAAGCGCAATTATGACAACATTGTCCAGCGGGGTCTAGGAGTCTCCCCTGGTTCAACACCATCTTTAGAGGTCCTAGCACGCCATTTCTCGACCCGCTCTTTCGTTTGAGCTCAAAAAAACATTCATATCTTGTCTGA